AACATACTTCTCAAAGCCTCTGAAAATTCCATGAGATGTTCATCGTTATCATGAACAGGAGTTCGTTGCAGAAGTTCCCCGATTGCTTTCTCAGAATTTACAGGCGAAGCCAAATCAATAAAACCATTCTCTGGCTGTGAGCTAGAATGACTTGCACCATCCTGTTCATAAATGGCTCATTAATATATATAAGCATGATATAAATGAAGGTGAAAAGCATAACGCTTGGTCCCAGTCCTTGCTGAAATAAAGGGCATGCAATGCCAAATGATGCATACCAAAGCGCGAGCTAAACATTCCACATGGGAATGATAATTTAATTCATATAATTTCTTATTTTCCAAATCCATTTCACGTCCACTATTTCCTAATTACTGGTTAACGGGCATTATACCAGATGGTGGAGTCACCTCTCTAAACAAGAACAACTGTTGTCGCATACCAGTAATTAAACAATAGATTGGTAATAGCGCCCAGTAGTGGAGTTATTTAAACAAATGATCAGTCAAATAACTTCCCCATAAGAATTGAACATGACAGCTCTTCAGACACAAATTGACCAGGAGAACCGACTAGGCACATTTCAAAATTTGTTCCATAAATGCGCTTAAAATGATTTTTCGACACCGCCTCTTATAAGCAAGTCTAGAAGCCCCAGAAAGTAAGTGCTGTTGGATCTCTCGGGATAGCTACCCATTTCCATAAAGCTCCACTTCATAGTACAGTAGCAATCCAGAACACCAAACCATCGCACTAACACAGAAACAATCATAATACTTCGATACAATGTATTGTCTGTACTACTCCATTCCATTGTCAAATATACTCCCGAGAATAAATTTTTACTTCAGCACCAAGCCCTTCACCTAAGTAATCAATTCCATTGTTATGTATCTTGATCCAACAAACCATAGACAGCAGCCTACCTTTACTTTTGTTTCGCGTTTAAGAAGACTAATGTTCCTCATTCTCATTTTCAAGTCTATATATCAAATCAATCATGCTCTGTTGCTCTCGCTAATGATCGAGTGCTCAGTCAAAATCCGATTGCCATACATGCTATATGTTCTCCAGTCACACTGGTCATCCAATCTAAGCCCCGTGAACGCCGGACACTGAGGTAGGACAGAGCTGGCGGCTAACCACACCGAGGCCGACAGTTCCTTTACTCCGATTCCGCAACACCGAATTGCCGAAATTTTCGGAGCTCATAAAATTCCCGGCCCTACTGCGAATCGCTCGCGTAAAAAAGCTAACGACAGACCATTTCGTCATCATCAACAAACAAATTAAACGCGCTCCGGCCACCGAACGATTCATCAGCACTCCACCGTCCCAATCCGATCACTAAACACGACCCCCTCCTCCGCGCACTCCTTCCGCACAAATCCGAGAAAAAAAGGGGAAAACGACGAAGCAACAGCAAACCACAAGACGACGGGAGAACAAGCAGAAACGGAACCCGAACTCCCCACACGCCAGCGCTCCTCGAGCCGCGAACCGTTCTGGATCGCCAGCAAGCGCTGGAAGCTGCTGCTGCTGCCGCCGCCAGACGCGAATCGAAGCCGGGGAGAATCGAACAACGCACACACGCAAGCTTCGCGCAGTCGCAGAGCTAGGGAGAGAGAGAGAGAGAGAGAGAGAGAGATTTTACAGCTGAAGTCGTCTTGCTTTTAGACATGGACGAGCAATCGGAGGTGACAAGCCTCGCGGCGACGGGGAGACGGGGAGAGGGAGAGGGGGACGGGAGCCTTTGAGAAGCTCCTCACGACTGAAATTTGGTCGAAAGTCAACACGCCCGAAGCCCTTCCCTGTGGACAGCGTCTGACTTTTGAGGGACGGGGTTGTTCGCCTGGTCTTCTACTGTGCATGTGTCTCGCGAAAATGTCAAACATCTCTCCAAACATTATTAATTTATTCCTCTTATAAATATATTTCTATTTTCGATAATAATCTATATTTAATTTTTTTTTTTGAGTAATGAAAATATTTTTCATTAATTCATTTTTTTAAGTGATACAAACGATTTTCCGAATCTCGATTTTTTCATGAAATATACGCATCCTAAGTGCGATCGAAATTCTTGTTAATGAATAACTAGCTCCGTGACCATAAGCAATTACGGAGATTTTTATCACACTACTTAAGGTATCGATTATCTTCGTGCCATGAAATATTTTTGAAAATTTGAGGTATGTTAGGTGGCAGCATCCGAGAACACTCGTCTGATAAAATATTTCTTATTGTTATCGCGTTTCATTTTCCTATAATTTTCGGAATTCAGTTGAATATCAAGCGTATCTTTGATTTTTTTTTTTATTTATCTCTTTTGGGACCTCGTTGCATCAGCCATGATGCATGTGTGGGGTTAGCTGTGTTGCTACCTCCCTTGGTCGTCCCCCGAAATGGCAATTTTTTTTTGTTCCAAGGAGAATAGTCCTCTTTATTAATGAATACTTTGAATTTGAAGCTAGATGATTGATTGTCCTCGGCCTCAATTTGGTAGTTGATGCTAAACCCGCCAAACGGGAGGGTTGGATTGGATCGGAAATAGTCCGACTCAAATAAATCTGTTGAATCTATTTTAACCCATTTTCATGTAATGCAAATATAGTGATTCATAGTTCGTCAATAACTGACTCGACTCATATTACTTAAACACTTCCATATTTAATCTAATTTAGGAAATCCATACCCAAATTGAGGTTTGATCGAGTGAGAATAAATAAAGAGTCGTAGAGGAAAGTTGAGTTTAACTAAATTATAAACCCATTTATGTCTCATTAAATCCTCATATTATGTTTAGATTCATTTATAACCCATTTACATAGCATAACTAACCCACGTAGTAATTCATCATCTTATACACGGGTTAAGAAATAAATTTATAATTCATTTTGACAGATCTAGTTAGTTCCATGATGATCGGGTAATCAATTTTTCGACCGGTCTACCTCCGCCCTTTCGTCACGTGGATTCGACGTTTTCCCTGATTTGGAAATTAAAGTCACCATCGTGTTGTCTCGCCCTACAGCTCCTTCTCGTGTTCGGCACGAGCATGACTAATCTCGTCGATTTGGCACGACTGATCGTCCGTGCCCTTCACTATATTAAGGGCTATGAAAAAAAAGAAATGATGTGAAAGTTCCAACCACCTGGGCAATGCATGTTCACAAAAAGGATGATAGATGACTGATTTCACAGACTACTTGACCAAATTTGCATAAGACATCTAATGGAGTCCATTCTTCCCTAAAGAGAAAGTTTGTCTTTCATGAGCATTTGGAATTTGGACCCCCATCTAATTCATTGATTATTATCATCATTTTGCCGGCTTGATTTGGAGCTACGATGATCGAATGTCCTCGGCCTCGATTTGGTAGTTGGTACTATGATAATCAGGTAATCAATTTTTCGCCCAATCTACCTCCACCCTTTTATCATGTGAACTCGGTGTCTTTCCTCTATTTCCTCGATTATGTAATTAAAATTGCTATTGTCCTCTCTCAGCCCCAGTTCTCCTCTCTCATCACCGATCTCGTCGCATGAGCCCGAGTGATCTTCCGTCATGGAAAGTTTGCGCGTCCCGTCATTAGCTAATGTGGTATGCAACAATCAACCGCTTTACATAATCGTATGTGCAATGAAAGGAAAGTGCACGAGCGAATTGTCATAAGTACATCAAGTAGTAAAACGACGCGTCGTGATACAATGAACAATTAAAATTATTGTATTTTAGGAGTACCAATATCACGGGAAGTTTTATATATGGGTCCACAAGTTTTTTTTTTTTTATTCGCAGTGAGCCCCACCCACCAATTTGGTCCTCACCTACGCATTGCACTTTCACAAAAAGATTAGATGATATATTTCATAGAATATTTGACCAAAGTATGCATTTATTATATAGTCCATGGCCAAAACAAATTAAAAAGATTAAAAAGAAAATTATTAGAATGCAAGTAGAACTTCCCTGGCCCTTAAGACGAGATCAAATCAATATTGAAATTCTTGGAACTAGTTGAAATTTATTAGGGAGTGGACAAAACAGCTCAAACTTCCACTGTAATTGCTTCGAAAACCGAAGGTTTGGTACCCTTCTTTTTATGTAAAGGATTTCTAGCAAATTTTTTTTTTCTTATGTATAGGATCTAGTAGGTCAGCTAGCTTCTGCTATCTTTTCTTCCATTTAGATTTTTTATGCTCCTAATGTTTTGGGGCATCCCATTTATAATTAATCTTTCAGTTATTGGCTGACCTTGGACCGTAGCTCCGTCCGTCTTCCCACGAAGCTTAACCAAAAATTTCAGACCAGAAATTAAATAAAAAATAAATAAACAAAGAAAGCACGAAGAAAGTGCGGTCGGCGGGCGGGCGGGTTGGTTGTTGGAAAAAAAAACCACTCAAATTCATACATGTTGTCCAATCTATCGAATAATCATCCAATGCTTTTACAAAAAAAAATACCTTTTTTTCTCTTCATACGCAACTAACCGATGACCGCGTGAGTAAATTTGCGCGTCTCAACGACAGCCAAATATTCGAAATCGAAAGACCATTTCGTCTCGCTTTTTTATTCATTCTCAAACCATCCTTCGCGTCGTCGAACGATGAGAAAAAGTCGATGGTTTAAATTTTTATCCATCGCCCATTTTCTTTATTCAAATATTTATTATCCGTACCCATTTTCTCCATTAAAAAAGAAAAACCTTTTTCTCTTTTGAGATAGCTCTCACTTTAACCTTTCTTATTCTCACGCGTGCACAACGAGTCAACACCAGTTTAATTGACCGCTAGGCGAGCCCAAGCCCGAGCCCAATCCCAATCCCGAATCGACCCGGCCCATTATAGGATGGTCCTGGGCCTGGACCGGCCCGGCCCATACCAGCCCAACTAATTTCGAGTCCTTCTCATTTTCCCCTGGCAGCTGCATCGCACGCTTCTTCTGCTCATCAACGCTCCTCCTGCTCCGACTGCGAAACTGCGAAGCGACGGCGACGGCGACGGCGACGGCGACGGCGACGACGACCGCGGCAGCACATCGCCTCTCTCTCTCTCTCTCCCTCTCCTCTTTCTTCGCTTCTCCGACCGCCGTCGTAGTGGCGTGATCTCCGCAACGACGTCGATTATCGTCTCCGAATCGAAGCTCCGATCACCAGCTTCCTTGTCGATTCGTTCACCTACGTTCCTTCCTTCTCAATGCATTCGCTCACGGGCTCTCCCAAGGACACCTACCGAGAGGAAAACGCGGAAGAAGAAGTAGAAGAAGAAGAAGAAGAAGAGGATGACGGCGAATCGATGAACGCTTCTCTCGCCACCACCGCCACCGATGGGCAGCCGCTAGATTCCGCGGAGCAAGCGTCCGAGCCCGAGCCTCCCGCCGAGGCTGCGTCGGAGGATTTGTCCTCGGAGGAGCCGCCTCCTTCCGACGACACCTTTAGATCTCGGAAGCGAATGAGGGCGGAGGAAGACAACGGGGACGGAGAAGGGGAAGTGGTGTCTCCCAGGAAACAGAATCATCTGTCGTCGCTCGCGTCTCGGGCACCAGACCAACAACAACCCGAGCGCGAGCTGTCAGGGGATGATGAGCAATCAGCATTGCTCGAAGCAGGTGTTAGTAACGGCGAGGCCAACGGCTTTCTCAATGGCAGCTTGAAAACTGCAGGGGCGACTGGTTCGAGCGCGGGCAGTGGGAAGAAATCGAAGAAGAAGAACAGCAATGTGTGGGTGACCAAGACTACGCGGAAAGGGAAGAAGAAGAACAAGAGCGGCGGCAATAATAGCCACAATGTGCCTGCTGAGGACACCGTATTGATAGCTCCTGTCCCTAGGTTTCCGGACAGAAACGACGATGCGCCGGACATGGAAATATGCTTGTCGAAGGTTTATAAGGCCGAGAAAGTAGAATTAAGCGAGGATAGATTGAGTGCAGGCAGTTCCAAGGGGTATAGAATGGTGAGAGCCACAAGAGGAGTAGTTGAAGGAGCTTGGTACTTTGAGATAAAGGTGGAGAGATTGGGGGAGACAGGGCATACCAGGTTGGGATGGTCCACGGAGAAGGGGGACTTGCAGGCTCCAGTTGGGTATGATGGGAACAGTTTTGGGTATAGAGACATTGATGGAAGTAAGGTGCATAAGGCACTGAGAGAGAAATATGGGGAGGAAGGGTATAAAGAAGGCGATGTCATTGGATTTTACATAAATTTGCCTGACGGGGGATTATATGCGCCGAAGTCGCCACAATTGGTTTGGTACAAGGGTCAGAGATATGTTTGCATGGCCGATCCAAAAGAAGATCCCCTGAAAGTTGTACCGGGTAAGTTAGCCATTGTTTGCCATTGTAGCCCTATATCCAGTGTTATCTTTGCATATCCATGTTCTTCCTCTACTTAGAAGCTGATATCAACAACTATAAATCTCCACAGGAAGAGAGCCATTGCTTTTACAGATACGTTGATTGCTTACGCATGCTCATTACTTGCATATGTGGCTGACTTTTGCCTTGTCTCTATGTCTTTGAAGTCATATATCAGAAGTAAAACAGTTTTCAAGTTCAAGAAAGTTACTTATATTTGGAATGTAGTATCCTTGCCTTTTTTTTATTTCTTTTCCAGTTTTCAATTCAAGGATGTTATGTTTGAATGTCGGCATGTTGGAGACATTTGTTTTGCAAGTTTATCCCTCGAGTTAATATGTCAAGGAAAAATCTTTTCAGGAACGGCAGCTGTTCATGATGGTGATGCCAGATAGATATTCCTTGGCTCATTGGATTCGTTATAAACATATTATTTTGCTTTTGAATAAACTACAGGAGCCTATAGCATTATGATTGGAAGAGTTATGCAATATGGTTTTGTACGTTTAACTCATTGTTTCAGCAGAAAACCAACACACAATATGTATCGCCAACCGAAAACATTGCTTGTAGACCAATATATTCTGTACAAATATGACATCTTTTTTATACCAACATAAAACAGCACCATCCCTTTTGGGTCTTATGTTGAATATCATCCCTTCAAAAATTAGAAGATCTTAGCTTATGGGTTTATGATCATGTGAAGCATAGTCTGGAGATGAGGGTTCAGTCAGAGTTTTCTAGTTTCCTAGACTTTGTTATGGTATATATCAATCAAATGAGGTTGGACATCGCCATAATTGAGATGGACACGTTGACGAAGGCTTTTCCTATACTGATGTTGCTATGTTTTTTGAAATTTACTTCTGTTGAAGAATAGTTTGTCTGATTTGTTCTTTGAGGGAGAGCCTAATGCTAGCCACAGATTGATTTTCAATATTAGTGCTCGCCTTATTATGACGCATGTCATTCTGTGCATGCAGGAAGTGAGATTTCTTTTTTCAGAAATGGAGTTTGTCAAGGGTTTGCTTTTGAAGATCTGTATGGAGGTCGGTACTACCCGGCTGCTTCAATGTATACTCTTCCAAATGAACCAAACTGTGTCGTCAGGTTCAACTTTGGTCCCAAGTTTGAATGCTTTCCGAGTGACTTTGGAGGACGTCCAATCCCGAAGCCTTTGATCGAAATCCCTTATCAAGGGTATGACAGCCACGTAGATAATGGTGGCTCCACTGAACAAAAGCACTGACCAAGAGAAACTCCTAAAATTACATAACTTAGGAATCATTATTGAGAGATTGAATTGAGTTTGACATTTGATTGTAATTCTTATGATTGTGGAACCAACACGCTTAAGGAACGATAAACTTTATCTTTTTTCCAAAATGTCAAGTTCATTTTCTTCTTGTTGAAACATGTGTCTTTCTCATGAGCTAACATCATGTTTATCGGATTGTTTTACTCATTATCACGGGTTTTATAGTATTATGGTATTTTTCTTGATGGCTTTATTCCCTTTTCCACTGTGGATTTTTTTGTTAGGTGCATTGCTAGGGATGTGGGAAAGTCGATCGTTATTAGAGACGGCCTTTTTCTTTGGAGGGGGGGGGGGGGGGGGGGGAGACACGATGGAGTTATATAGTTTTCTTGACAGGTAGTAGTTCTGCTGAGAATGATGGTACATTTCATAATCATATCTCCTTTCACCTGACAGTCATGTGGATTACAGGCGATGGTTTCTTCCACTTGGGTAGTCTTTAGCATCATGTGTGAAATAAGATCAAAGATAATAAAGCAATATTATGGCTTTTCAGCAGTCTTTTCTATTTGCTTGTCTGCAAAGGAAGTGACAAACATCATCAAAAGAAAGCTCTGAGTGCCCAAGGGGACCGGGACAAAAAAAACAGATGTGGAGCAATGAGCTGGTAAGACTGATTTCTCATTCCGAATTATCGTATAGGTTTTCCTTGTCCCTAGTTCATCTTTTATTATTTCTGCAGCACCTTTGCTATGTGTAATTTTTTAGACAATCTAGAGTGATGTAAATAGAGGACTTTATTTTCATGTGATAATGTCTTGTGCTGGTACTGATTGGTGGCCCCTTTTACAAAAGCATAATTGATCTTACCAAGGTAGCACCAGCAGTTCGCACAAGTAACCGCAAATAAATCAAATGGGTCATATTACCCCCACAAAACTCTATGAAATATAGCTCCTTTTTGTGTCTTTTGTTAATGCAAGCTCTTGATAATTTGCATTTTGGAGTCTTCCCTTGACCAAAGGAAATGTAACATAGTTGAATTAAAACTGGAAGTTAAGTTCCCCTCAAGGCTGAAAATATAAAGAAGCAGAAGTTAGAGGTCCCTTTTTTCTTGATTGAAGATGCAGTCAGATTCATCACATAATTTAACTCCTGATGCCTTTGTTTTTTTCTCCTTCTGGTTTCTTATTGCATTTTATTAGGTTACTAAATTTTCCATATTATGTAGCCTCCTCCACAACTTGGAAATTGGCTTGAATGAGATTATCGGGAAGTGGAGAAATTTTTGTATCTAAGTTTATCTTATTTATCCACTCTATTCTATTGTTATGCTTTAGATAACCTTGCTTTTTAAACCTTCAAAATTGTGTTAGCATTCAATATAATATTTGTTGGAACATAGCAACATATGGTGTACTTATTCCTTCACTTTTTCTCATGAACTTAGCTAACTTCGTCTCCCATCGGCACCTGCGGTTCTTCAGCTTCACTCTTTTGATAATCAAGTCTCCCTTATCGGTTAGCAGGTGGCCCTTTGGGTTTGTGGGAATGGTTTTAGGTGCATGAGATATGATGATTCTTGACAATTATTTGTGTGAAATATATTGTAATCACAGAAGTCTACTAACTTAGGGCAGGAGTGCTGTGAGAGATTTATATTTCAAATGGAGTGTACATTTGAGGTATGTGCTCACTTTGTGCTTAAATGCCAATGCAGTAAGTTTTCATATTGCCGGAATATCCATCCTTTTCATTAAATTTTTTGAAAAAAGGGAAAGTTAGAAACAACAAAAGAATAGAATGAAACCACGCTAGTGATAGTGCCAGACTTATTTGCTCTACAGTGTGCCAATGTAATCCCGAAAGGTTCTTTTTGCTAGGGAAGAAATTTGGACATTCCATTGTCAAGTGACTTGAAAGTCTGGACTGCTTGCTGTAGCAATACCAACCATATGACCATTAAACATCCACAAAAAGGTGCTTAAAAATTATGTCGTAGCTTTGTGCCCGACTGTTTATTTTGGTAAGACATCTTACATCAGTATTGTTTTGATGCTTTTTTTTTTTGGTAACCAAGGTGTCCGGGCCAGCTTGCGCGCACCTCGACTATTCCTCGGGGGAGACTAGCACAGCAACCCACTGCCATGGCCACCTACTTAAATCACAAGTGCTCAGCTGGGGAATCGAACCTGGGACCAGTGCGCCTAACCACACAATCCCAAGTACGCCCTAACCAACTGAGCTACCCATAGGTGGGTGTATTGTTTTGATGCTTTATGCCTTTTAAAAGGACTTATCTTTGTGGCAACTTGCCAACTTTACATAAGCTCTAGCTGAAGTTTGCAATGGTTTATTGATGTCTGTGAGATGTCCAATATTCCTGAAGTTTTCTATTTTTGGCTCGCAGCAGTAGATCATTTGAAGAGCATGGCTCAATTTTATTATAATAGTTTTAAAATTTGTGATTTTGAGTGGTATCATTGAGCTTAAACAAAAAGCCAAACCCTTGATTGTCACATCATTCTCTACGCGGCATGGTATTATCTATGTTGGCCAAAAAACTTGGTATTGTCTCTCTCTCTCTCTCTCTCTCTCTCTCTCTCTCTCTCTCTCTCTCTCTCTCTCTCACACACACACACACACACAACATACATCCATATAAATGTCTAACGCATAACATGTGCTGTTGCTGGGATGCTTCAAGCATAAAGAGCTCTTGGAGCATTCTCTACTAGTCAGCCACTGGTCATTTGAGCAGAGAGACATGAACTTTCTTGCTTCTTTAATGGATTGGTGAGTTAAGACCTTCTTGAGAAGACAGGGAATGGAGCCTCTGGTGCCTCTTGGAAGGAACTGACGGAATATTCTGGAATGAAGGCCTCTTGCTGAGCTGTCGTAGAGTTCTCTTGGCATGAAGTGTCCGTACAATTGGAGAAGCTCTCTCTTTGAACTTTAGAATGGTGAAAAAGAGAAGTCTATAACATATGAGAATGGTTAGAAGTGCTGCTAAATCCCACCATTTTGAGTAGTTGTGTTTGATGCCAAGTATGTTTGTGAGCACAAGTTCGCCTTTCAGTTTTGGCCCATCAGGGACCAGTGAATCAAACTCAAGTCCAATCAAGTCATTCTTGTATGCTCCCTACATTGCAAATCAAAAGTCGTGAGATCTAGTGTGATGTGTCTCACCATTACTAAAGTGAAATAGTGGTCCGACATGGTTAACTGACAAAGGTATGTGTAACCATTGAAATTGCATAAATTATGCTAAGGAGGCTGGGATAACATTGATCTATTTAGTTGTCACTTTGTCAACTTATATGTAGAATGATGGTCAAATATTCCAATTTAAAGGGGTTACAAACTTTCTTCCTGTCATTTTTAGTTAAGAGTTGCCTCAATCCGTATGCTTGTTTGGTTTTTTTTAACTGTTTGCTGAATCAAATTTCATTTATCTAAATCTGATAAACTTATCTTGTTCGCTTGGCTTCCTAGGTTTGATCTGTGGCATGTAGGAAGGACCAATTAGTTTTATCTATCCATGCATTTTGAACCTAATGTTAGTGCTTTACGCATGGCTTGACCCTCTTCATGCTGCTGCACTGTTCTTTTGTTCTTCAACACAATGCTTGAGCTCATGAAGAGAGAATTATTGGGGGCCTTTTTAGCTGGTTTCTGGCCTTTGACATATGAAGTATTATGCTTTCCAGTAATTTGTCGTTTTTTTTTATGACTTGCCAAGTGGCAGCAAGTTCTTTTCATACTAGTGTCTAAAGTAACTACTGTGTAATAACTGCTCGGAAAATTTAGGTCTTCTTGGACTTTTCTCTATTTGGATAAGTTAGAAATACAAATTGAGGAAACCCACCTGCAACGCCCATGCACCATAGTTGATGTATGATAATGGATAACGCCAGAATGCCCTCGGAAGATCAGGAAGTGATCGGAAGTACCCTGATGTCATCATCACAATTACCTGTACGAGGAAATTGGAAAAGAATGAAAATGACCTTCGGTTTGTTCAAAAGCAGAACCTAGATGAGAATCTGACGGAGAGAAACTAGAAACTTATCCTTACCATATATCCTGCTCCTAAAATGATTCCCATCAAAAAGTTGGGAACAAGTGAAGCGATAATCATCATGCAGCTCTCTACGACAGCAATGGAGCTGAAAAGATCAAGGCAGACATACAAACAAAGGGAGAATTCTGACCGAAATTTCACCATGTAGTATATAATAGTCCCGGTAGCAAATGACGTCATTGCAACAAACGGTAATGATGAGAGGAAGTTTGCTAGAATGTAGACGGCTATGCCATAATGCCGATTGAGTCTTTCATGGTAGAACACCTATTTCAGGAGAAGAAAAATGAATTATCATGGCTCAAACTATCTTCCACTTTTGTAGCATGGGTCACAATCTTGTTTGGCTATGAGAATAATTGACTACCTTCATCTCTTCAAGAAACGATGGGAAGCCTCCAATTGACATGAAAGTCATATACCCTGCGACAAATGCACCACACGACCCCCTCGCCCAGATTGATGTGTAGCTTGTTCCAATGTCAAAGAAAATAGTACCAACACAAATTGAAAGTGCTATATAGATCACTATCCTTATCCAGTAATACCCGAGATCTCTTAACATGTTCTTAAAGGATCTCCTTGTCAATGTGGAAAGCTGCTTCCACCATTTTGCCGGACTTCCTTCACTTCTCCTATCTGTAAGCCCTTCCTGCAGGTTTAGGCAAACTTATTTTTGATGTTCTATCTTTCTTGTGCAATAGTACACAGGTTGCCTGACTTAAAAGTTGTGAGGGTAATCTCGGTATTCTTTGTATGCAAGATAAATGCTAGCTTCATTCGGTTAGTTTATCGTGTATGTCAATCTATGCTTGATTGAATAAAAATTGCAGCAAGTCCTCCTCAATACGTATTTAAGTCAGATACTTATGATCCAAAGGTGTTAAATGTCCCTCTTGCTCTGGCAAAAACATGGTAATCAGAAAAGTAGCTGGATTTGCTGCTTTTATGTAGAATTATATCATTTTCTTGATAATTTAAGTAACTTGATAATGCTAATGTGGCTGGTGATATTGGTGACGTAAATTGGTAGAAATAGAAAGTGTTAAACATGTTACAGTATACTTAAAATAATTCAAGTCCCTTACGATGTGTGAGATCTCCTGAATCCTAGCTCTTGCTTTTGATGCATACTCCGATCCCCTGTATGTCTGTATGAGCAATGCTTTAATTTCTGCTGTCGTCAATATTGTAGCTGGATCCAACACATTCTGGGTTTCCTTGGTTGAAAAGTTAGAAGTCTTTTATAAGAACCATAATGTCAATGAAGAAGTAGACACGAAAAAAATTTGAAGTGCTTTGCAATTAGTGCTTGTAAAGTTTCTTGAAAGAGCTGCTTAATTATCACTACACAATGAAGCAGCCTTTAAAGTCTGAAATTCCATCTTCTGTTGAACGACAGACAACAATTAGCATCTCCAGTCTAAAAACTTGAGCTTGTCTTTTTCACATGTGAGTCTATCTTAAGCATTCATTCTGTCTCAATATCGAAGTGACTTACAACAATCCTGGTACTGTGTTCAGAAGCTAATACAGGTGAAAGAAATTTGAAGCTGTGATTATGTACGTACATGTTTTCTGCAGGATCCCATGAACGTTGCAACAGTGTCAAAGTCAGAATTGATACAACGAAGGAAGTGATCAGAAGGATTTCTTGTATTTGGACAGGGAAACCCTGCATCAGCAAAAAACTGTGGAAGAAAAATGAAAAGGCAAATATGAACGAGTACGAAGTCGAGAGTACTGAATGACTTGAAATTGTGTTTCCACATGGACAGAAACATCACATGCATGAGACACACTCTTCAGATAGTTTGAAAATTTAAACGTTAGTTTGAGAAAATTTTGCAATGTTCTCCTGTGAATATGAGCGTTTTAACTTCTTTGGACCAGGTTTTGTTCTTCACTATGTCAACTAGAGCAAAACAACTTGAAGTAGAGGAGCATTTCAAAATTGTCCAAGAGGATATGAGTTTTATCATCTTTTACATATTATATCTTTTTGGACGGCCTCCTTGGAGAGGCATAGATGGAACTCCAGTAAATATGATCTCATTGTAAGCAAAACTTTGTAATAATGTTGAAGATGTAAAGTCATTACATATTTCTACCTCTACTGCCAGCTTTGCTCCTCCGAGATAGACTGTTTCACCACCAGAAAGAAGATATAGATCATCAAATAATGCAAAAACTTCACTACTGGGTTGGTGGATTGCAGAGAGAATTGTTCTGCCATCATGAGCAATGTTTCTTAGTGTCTGAACTACGAAGAAAGCTGAAGCACTATCCAAGCCACTGGTGGGTTCGTCAAGAAACAATAAGCTTGGTCTTTTCAGTATTTCCAGAGCAATGCTGAGCCTTTTTCTCTCTCCTCCACTTATACCTCGTAAGTGCCAGTTTCCTATTAGCCGATCGGCACAATCTTGAAGACCCATTTCCTCAATGGTGCTCTCAATGATGCCACTTATTTCATCTTTGGTCATGGTAGATGGAAGCCTCAAGTCGGCAGAGTACCTTATTGTTTCTCTGACTGTGAGAGTTCCCAACAACACGTCATGTTGGGTTACATAAGCCTGATATTGCAGGAGACTCTGAATTAGAAGGTAATGCCCCTAGAGTTGTACTTTTGTTTGTTGTTATTTTATAGTCCTAATTCAAGTTCTGCTTGTGCTAAGTGTGAAATTTGTGGTCTCAAGGTGCGATGAGGCGTGAAAGCAATTTGCAGCGACTGAAATGAGTGAGAACATGTGCAAATGGTTCAAGCTACATCAACCATCACAAAATCCAATAGGCAAGTCTCACTTGTACTGCAACAAAATGGGAACATGGTAAAGATGAATGTTTCTTTTTCAGATATCCTCATGAGATCTTTAACAGAAACTTTGAGAAAAGACAGCCATTTATTTTTCTTAAAGTCACTTTAATCTTCGTCAGTAGCCATGAAATGGTAAAGCAGGAAGTCAACTGGAGGACATGACAGGATTCGGTCCCAGTATGCTGGTAAGATTTCTTAATTGACTAACTGCTATAGGACTTAGCTGATTGTTCCAGTTTAACTATGTTAGAATGATTATGAAGGCTAATCAGTGAAATCATGCAATATCACTTACAAGACCACCACAGTTTAATTTCCTCTTCTTCCCATTAAGGATAACATTCCCAGTCATGACAAGGTTTCCTGATAGTCTTCCTGCATCAAAACAGATTTGGCAGATTCAGTATATGTACCAGCAAATTGGTACACGGGATAGCCTGCATTGATAAATAAGTATATACGCGGATAGTCTTATTTCCATGAAGTCAGCGTTTGTTGCTTCTCACTTAGTATCTGCATTATTGTGTGATAAAATCTTGATGATGACAAAAATATTTTTGGGATGTTAAGGATGGACTAGTTCTCTTGCTCCTTGGGGTTCAATCCTTTGCTGACCTTTAAGGAATGTTCTCATATCTCTGGAGGTTTCAGTATGGCCATTGTAGCACTAGTGGTATTCAATGCGGACAATTTTGTTGTGCATTGCCTAGAGAAGCAAACCAAAGGGTTTTATTTAAGTTCTTCTAGACCAAGGACTCTCTACATGACAGATGATGAATCTAGCAACTGCACCAACTTCGTCACTTCTCAACAGAGGGGGAAAGAAAAAGAAAAACAGATGGCCCTATAATGGCAATGGTTCTGCCTGGCTCAGCATGCCCAGTGAGGGAACAGAGCTATAGGAGAGAGGGGGAGAATGAACCTGCAAGTGAATCGAGAAGAGTTGATTTCCCTGATCCAGATGGACCCATAATGGCCATGATTCTGCCTGGCTCAGCGTGCCCAGTGAGCCCTTTAAGTAACTTTCTCGCATGTCCATTACCAGAATTCGGCAGTATCACAGAAAGATCATCCCACACCAAGTACATAGCTTCATTTTTACCTTCTTCCAAGCTCATTTCAGGAGTTGAACCGTCAGAACCACCATCCTGTGCATCACTTTCTATCTCCATGGTATGTTTAAAGACAGGCCCTTGGTTACTGGAAAAATGATAAGTGCAGGACCTTTAACTTGAAAGAATAAAGAGAGACCTACGAGGGATTTTAAGGAAGCGGTGTTCTATAGCAAAGTCTCTCATTTAGTTGCTGTTAAATATTACTAGGCTAATGCCGAGCAAGAAGACGTCAAGAAATCTACCGTTAATGGTCAAGGATGGTACAGAGGTGTAGTTAATAGGTGAAGCCAAACAGCAACCATCCTTTCCCAATTTTTTTAAAAAAATTAGTACAATAACCAATGCTCTAGACCTACCGTGAAGAGAGTTAAAGTTCAATAGTAACTGCGAGGCAAGGAGAGAGAAGATTCCAGTACAAAAGTTCACATGGCCTGCACATGAAGAGACAGTTCGCGTACTGTTTTTGTCTTTTTACTGGTTCAGCCATCACAATCGCAATTAGTGGCCTCAAGTTTACACACAAAAGCTCAAAAAAAACTAGTTCCAACCACCGAGAGACTTTCCGGTTAACTTAAGCAGAGAAAAGGACTGTTCCATTGGCATTCTAGACCATTGGGCCCTTCTCTGTTTTGTCCTCTAAATATGGCTGGACAACTGCGAATCAAGTATTTAACTGGTGCTCTTTTGATGATCTATTACATCCCAGAGTTCTCCCTTTTCTACCCTCTTCGGATATCACTGAAAGCATCCTATATAAATGTTATCCGTGATATTATGGTGGAGATACAGGTTGAAAAAAAAAATGAAAACAAAATGTGGAACATGACTATAATGAAAGATCTTTTTTCCAGTTGTTAAATTTCCTGGTCATGTGAAATGAAAAGGAATTTCGCGTTCTTCTTTTCTGGGAAGGGAGGATTAGGAAAATGCGATTGATCTCCAGACCTTAGACAAACATGCGAAAACAAAAGGCTCCTATGGTACAATCCCTGAGCTTAGCAAAGTTTTGACGCAAAACATAGCGCGCTAGTGTGAGGGATGCACATTAACCAACCCCACTTACTGGAATAAGACTTGTTTATTGTTCTTGTTGGATTGAAGAGCCTATTAGGAAGTTCAAACGGAGCTTCTCTTTCGTCTCAAATGGTGATGAGTCCTCTTAGATTGCCATTAGAGCAGGCTTTTATAAGACTACCAATTGCAAATCTCAGCTTAGGAGAATCATTTTGCTCCTTTTCGAGCATAATAGTTTCCTAAACTCGTGCATGATGAAAGAGTTGGAGAGTTGGCATAGTATGATTATTACATATTTGAAACTCTTAGGCTTTTTTTCGTGTTGCCAGAAGATATTACAAATGCCCAGTGAAAAATTGTAAACTCATCTGTCCGCTGTAAGAAATAATTACAAGCTACACGACCATAAATGCTGCACTATAATTGGGAATTCCAGCTTTCTCGAAGCTTTTAGTTGAGTGGAGAGTTCAGGCCCTCCTGAGAAGACAGTGAATGTAGTGGCTGGTGCCTCTTGGAAGATATAGAGGGTACTTTCCTGAAGGAAGGCCTTTTATCAAGATGATGTAGACTTCTCTTGGCATAAATCTTGTTAAACACAGGAAAAGCTCTCTCCTTGAGCTTGAGGATGGTGAAGAAGAGAAGTCTGTAGCCTAGGAGAATAATGAAGATAGCAGCCAAATCCCACCACTTGGAATGATCCAGTGGAACCCCAAACATAGTTGTGATGATAACTTCGCCTTTCAGTTTTGGCTCGCCAGGTATTAAGGGATCAAATTCAAGACCAATTAAGTCGTTCTTGTAGGCACCCTACACAAAAACCATACCAAAATTAAGCACTGAGAGGGAAGAAAAGTAGTTCTATCTGCATTATGATGTCAACAAATCTATAAACCAACATCTTCCTTTTGAAATCTTACACATGGAATTGGTGTTGGTCAGTAAATTACTAGGCGATATATAGGAGTCATATTCCTTGATGGTCCCTCTTGAGTAGAGTCGCGCGAAGTTACTGAGGTTTTGCCTTTATATTTGCATAGAGACAGCATTTGGAGATTTTGTGAATCAAAAGGGTTCTGCTTCTACTTTGAAATACTATCAGGGGTATGGAGAAGTTTTGCTCAAATGCTTGTACTGAATGGCATGGCAAATATTCATTAGGTGTTTAAACAAACTCAACTGCCCTCTTTGTTGATTAATTAACAAGGAAAATGAGACTTAGATAACGTATGCCGAAATGTGTTACCACATAATTTAGTGTCTGAGCCTTTTGTGAATCGCAGCCAAAACAATGAAACAAATTTTTTAGTTTTTGAAAACAAGTAATAATCAAGATGGCTAATCTTAAGCTCCTACTCTCAGCTTTGTTCTAGCCTATTTTGAGTGATCAAGTACCTCACTTCTGGTCTTAAAAGTTTTTCCTTCTGTCTATTATCCATTTATGCCGCTTCTTTTATAATTCTAACATCGAAGTACCTGTATAGCCCATGAGCCGTAACTAAGATACGAAATTGGGTACCGCCAAAAGGGTTTTGGAAGGTCTGGCAGAAGTCTGAAGAATCCAGAGGTCATCATCAGTATTCCCTGCAGCAGCGACCCCAAATTGTTCGTAAAGATGCAATTGTCATATCAAAGCATGAAATGTTGGATATTCTCTTACTATAATTCCAGCTCCTGTAATGATTCCCATCAAGAAGTTTGGAACTAGTGATGCAACAACCATCATGAGGCTCTCTATGACAGATATGCAGGCATGGATATTGAGGCAGAAGAACACGTAGTGAGAAAAGCCCGTCCTAAATTTCACCATGTAGTAGGTGATAGTCCCCGCGGTTAGTGTTATGGCAACCAGGAAAGGGAATGAAGAAAGGAAATTTGAGATGATGTACACCGCCACGCCGTAGTATCCGTTAAGCCTTTCCCGATAGAAAACCTGTTTGTGAGTCGGAAGAAACTCTTAAAAAACTCTGCATATCCGTGATGCTTAGTTTCTTTTCTTTGTTCTTTTGCTACCTTCATATGCTTACCTTCATTTCTTCGATGAAGCATGGGAAGCCACCAATGGACATAAATGTCATGAAGCCAGATATGAATGCACCGCAAGCTCCGCGGGCCAGGATTGCAGTGTAGCTATTGCCAACATCATAAAAGATGGTACCAACGCAAACTGATACAATCAGGTATATTATTATCCTTAGCCAGTAATATCCTACATCTCTGGACATGTTTACCAGTGATCTCTGTGTTAAAGTCGTAAGTTGCTTCCACCATGCTGCTTGGCTCCCACTTTTCTTTTCAACATCATGTCCTTTCTGCGGAAGTGTAACTTGTACATAAATATGTATGCATACTTATGTGTGTGTGTGTGTGTGTGTGTGTGTGTGTATTTACCTACCCACTCCATTAGAATTCATCATCCTACAGAGAAACTTTTTCAGTGACAACTATCGCTAGTAAAATTTGTCCCAAAAGTGTTTGGTGACTGCCACATTTCCGGGGTGTATTGCAGGAGGATGATTAGAAGGCTGCTTAGCTTGTTTTTTCTGGTGCAGTGGTGCTACTCTTTTCTCTAGAGTGTCATTTTGTGAAAATGTGCAATTCACTCTAAAGCAGGGTTAGCATACTTTTCGAGTGACTCTGTTCTTCAAAAGAATATCAACCACTTTGATTCAATGCTAAGTGTGAGAAGCTTACAGTAGTTGTTATCTCTCCCATTCTGGCTTTAATTCTTTTTGCGTATTTTGAACACCTGTACTTCTCAACCAGCAGTGCTCTGATCTCGGCTGTTGCCAGATTCATGAAAGGATCTGATGAGTTTGGGACATCCTGCAACCGCGAATCCATAGATCAAAGGTACTTGGTGAGTCTATGTTACTCTGAAGCACTTCCCAAATATTGGGCTTTGCAACTAAACCACACCACTGCTCACATATAATACTTACACGAATTCTTTGAGATCCTTTCAGTGTGGCCGTCACTATGTCGAAGTCTGAATTTATGCAACGCAAGAAGTGATCTGAAGGATTCCTTTTTCTTGGACATGGAAAGCCAGCTTCAGAGAAAAACTGAAATTCAAATGAAGAGTTACGATTTGATACAAAAATGTGGACAAAATTGTTCAGAATAACATGACTCTCACGATGGTTCAGGATAATTTCGGAGACATCGAGACCAAAGGAAAGCCAAGCAATGCAGAAGTTCCATATAAAGCCATGGAAAATGGAACGTGAAATTTCAGTGTTATTTTCTACACATACCTCAACAGCCATCTTTGCTTCTCCAAAATAGACAGTTTCACCACCGGACAGCAAGTAAAGATCATCAAAGAGAGCAAAGACTTCGCTACTCGGTTGATGAATTGATGAGATCACGGTCCTTCCATCGCAAGCAATATTTCTCAGAGTCTGGACCACAAAGAAAGCTGAAGCACTGTCCAGACCGCTCGTGGGTTCATCAAGGAAGAGCAAATGAGGGCGGGTGAGGATTTCGAGCGCAATGCTGAGTCTCTTCATCTCTCCACCACTTATTCCTCTCAAATGCCAGTTGCCAATCACTCTATCTGCACAATCTTGGAGACCCATTTCAATGATTGTTCCTTCAACAATAGAATTCACTTCATCTTTGCTCATTGTGGTTGGAAGCCTCAATAGAGCCGAGTACTTTATGGTTTCTCTAACTGTTAGTGTTCCCAGTAAGACATCCTCTTGAGTCACATAGGCCTGAACATGACACAAAAGCTCAATCGTTCAGAAAAGATATTGCCATTTTGCTTGCTTATACGGTGTATTCAAGTTTTAGCTGTCATTTCTATTGACCAAAGAATGGACTTTTTTGAATGGATTGACAGTTGGGACATGTGAACATGGGTGATGAAGAAGATGGTTTAAGATTGGAAAAATTGGGTATTATAGTTTATACTCACTTTAGTGTCCTATAATCTAGTGACATTTAGTTTACCATTGTTGCAGGTGTCAAAACATGTCATGAGCGCATTGGCTTCTCTCGTCAACTCAATTTCTACGATCTCCAGGTCAGCAGCAATACTTTTTCAATTAAGAGTTCTACCTGAATCTATTGTGTAATCGCGCCAACCCCACTTATCCATAGATTGAGTGAGCAACAACTAGCACTTACCGCAACACCATACTCGAGTCTCTTCTTTTTCCCGTTAATGAGAACATTTCCAGTCATGATCACATTTCTGGATAATCTACCTGCAGTAACGTCAATGCCTCTTTACATATGGTGAATATATGCAGATGCTACAAGCAAGTAAATAAATTAAGATTGCTATAAGGTTCTGCTGAGCTGCCATTTAGGAAAACTTCGCCTTAACCAAACCAGATGTTTCAAAAAATTCAAAATTATAAAACCCGATTTAAATAGAAGTAGTTGATTTTAAGCCAAAGAATGTTCATCCATGTATTTAAAACGTTTCTAGGCTGGAAGTGTATAAGTTTAGCTGAATTGGTTTATTTAATGATGAACAAAGGCCACATGAACTTTACCAAAAAAAAAAAACAAAGGCCACATGAACTATACAAAATAACTCAACAGAAGTTTGGATTGCTGATATTAGATTTTCTTTTTTTGTATGTTCTCGTCGACGCTCCGGACTGTCATGAACCTCGAGTTTGGCTCAACTGAACTGGTGCTAGCCTTAGCCAACCATTGGAATGATCAAGAAACCAAAGATGAGCCAAAATAAGAAATGTTCCCCAAGTGCCGTCACCACTTTTAAGTCTAAAACTTGGCTTCTTTTGCTTTTGTTTTCATATAGGTTTTGATGTTCAAACGGAGAGAACCCTCTCACCACGATTTGGTTGGAATTCAAAGGCGAAAAGGAATGATAATAACACTTTGTTTTGGACATGCCTAGAGAAATTGTCGTGACTCTCTAGTTGGTGAATAATTAAAAGCAGAGGAGGTACTGAAACCACTTATTAGACACAAGATTCTCTTGTTCTAACCATTTCAAGAAAGCAAAGGAAAATTCCCCTGAATAGTCCAAACTTACCGAAAAAGACATTATCCAATCTTCTATGCACATGCATGTATGTACCACCTTATTTGCAATATAGATAGATTCGGAGAGAGAGAGAGAGATCAAACCTGCTAGAGAGTCAAGTAGGGTGGATTTACCCGACCCAGAAGGGCCCATGATGGCCATGATGCGACCTGGTTCAGCATAGCCGTTGAGGCCTTGAAGCAACCTCTTGGTGTGTCCATGACCAAAGTGTGGCAAGACCACACTTAGATCCTCCCAAACCAGAAACGTTCCCATCGAAAATGCTTCCCTCTCGTATGAGCTGCCGCCGCCGCTGCCGCTCGCCGCCTCTATCTCCATGGATTCCCAGATGAGAACGCTGAGCCGAAACCGGAGGAACCAAGCAGAAAGCAGAAGAAGAGAGAAGAGAGGAAGAAGAGAGTGCGCCCCTTTCAAATTTTCTTATCGAAAGAGAACAGAAAACTCATCAAGTAGCCCATGAGAAGGCCGAAAGAAACAGCAAGCAAGCAAGCAGGAAAAGAAAAGAAACAGAGGAGGTGGTAATATAGTGAATAATGACGAATCAATGAGTGAAGACGCTAGGCTAGTAGTCACCAAACAGCTACACGTCCGTATCGTTATGAATGTGTGGGAAGTGCAACACAATCGAATCCAACTACAAACGAGTCTCTCTCTCTCTCTCTGTTCTTCTTCCTTCGTTTCTGCTTTGGTTTTGCTTTGCTTTTTGGGAAATTATGGTGGTGGGTGTGCGGACAGATCATGTCATGCTGGTGGCAAGCGAGGGAATTGAATGCGTGGGGGAGGGAGGGGGTGCAGGGCGAGAACTGAAAGCGACCCCCGGGTGTACCGCCGCGCAGTGATGGCCCCCCCCCCTAATAAATAAATTGGCTGGCTCTCTCCCCATATCCCCAAACGCCATTGAACAAGACAGGCTCGTTAGTGATAAAAGCCCCCCGCCTCCCTAACTAATACCCGTCAGCCTAACTTTAATGCCATCAATATTTTTTTCAGGGCTTTTTCTTCTTTTTGAATACCCAAATCAAGGAAATTTGCCATTTCCAAAGCACTCTCTCCCTTACTAATTAGTGCTGTGCATCGGTGCATTGGCAATGAAAAATTTTCTTACTAAATATGATTAGCAAGTGCTTTGGACTTTGGAGACACTTATGTACAAGATTCGCTACTTTAACCCGAAAGAGGGTCTCTAAAGATCTCGGTCCCTGACTTGGGTGGAACTGAAGTGTGTCTTGATGTTACAAAGATTTGAAAGCAATCACCAATCAAGCTTTGTTTTCCCTGTTTTTTTTGGGTATTGGGTCGGCATGAGACCTTCCTCTTTTCTTCTTCAAGGGATTTTTATTTTTTTTGGGCAACTTCTTCAAGGGATTTGAACAGAAGGGTCCTTTTGTACTCAGGCCTTCCTCAGGAATTCAATGCCCCCCTGGACCATGACTTTAACACCGACTTCCGTCTGTACTCGTCGTTTTTTCTATCTTTTCCTCTCCTCCTTCGCTTTTCTTGGTACCGAGCGACTCAGTTTATTCTGGGAACCGCCATCATGACCTTTCCTTCTTCTTCCTCCTGGGATTGCTTCCATTGCACGAGGGTGAATTCTAAATACCATTAAGGAATGTTTGTTGTGATCCTCGTTGTGAGATATGGAACTCGAATTTCACATCTTACATGAGAGTTCGATATGCTTTACATCAGCTGCTGTTATGATACTACTTACAGCTCACGGAACTTAATCTAAGGTCGCATATACGTACGAAACGTACACAGCCATTCACTCTTTCACCTGATAGTTAACTTTTGAGGTACGGTTCTCCAGAAAGTTCTCATCACCCGTTATTAGTTTGTTTGGTTCCCTTTCACAAAAGAGCAAAGTCGATACGGTTTGATCTTTGGAACGGGTATTTACACGGCCATTTCCACGAATGAAAATTTTAAACTCTAGACACTGCCTATGTAAAGGTTTTTTGTTTTTTGTTGTTTGACGCAAATGGTCTCGAGATGAATAATATCTATCTAACGAATTCATTTCCTTAAATGAATGCTACCTGTGTCTTTTTTTAATTCCCGCTTGTAGATATACATAATAAAAGTCCATCATTATATGATTATTTCATAACAAACCCTGTCCTTTAGATCTATAAACGTATGTTTCAGTTGAAATAATCAATACTCTTAGGTTTGGACTTATGATAGTTGTTTCTTAAATTATTTCCGGAAATTAATGATGATAAGTTAACACCAATCGAACCTATGTCGCATCGGTTTAGGTTACGGATTTCATTTGCTTGCTTCGATTTGAAAAACAAACCATCCACTTCATCCGAACACCTAATGCTTAGTTTGATTTACTATCTGATTGTCTAGTTGAACATTGCCAGTGATCGTGCAGTGCACCCACGCAATCCTTCCATTAGAGGACCTCTAAAACACCTTCTCGGGAAGAGAGTGATCAGGCCTCAATAGCTGCCTCACCGTCTAGTCTAGCGAATTCCCCAGATCATACATAAGCTGGCAAACATTACGAGCAGATCAGGGCCCGAAAGAACATCACATCATATGCGGATGAGTCGCCAATGGGGCAATTTCAAGCAGACAAAGCCTTTTGTTCTGCTGCATAACATAGCCCGCCAAATCGACCAACGAACAAAGAGAATAGCGAATGCAACATCATTCGCTGGAAGCCTATTCACGGGTTCCTCGTAGGAACTCGGTCAGCAATCAAAATTTTCCAGAAAACAGAATGGAGAGACATGCTCAATGCATGTGCTTTGCCGAAGGAACTAAGTAACACGTGAAGAAATGGTGATAGTGCTACAGACGTTCACCCGAGTCGTGGTCATTCCCGACCGAGGAGGTAATTTAGTCATAAAGTCATTAATCACAAAATGGGGGTTATTGTCTTAGACAAGATGCTTGAGCTAGAATTGTAATGGGAAACTTCATGGCACCAAAATAAAGAAAGTCAGTCATTCGCAAGGAGACATATCCTTCCAGTAGTTAGTACAACCATCACATAACACCACGAGACTAGAATATCAACGGAGCCCTCAGCAAACACAAACATTGCTAATTCCAGATCACGAAAAACATATATCTCTCGATTCATAATAAAAACGAAGACGATGTTCTTGCGGAAGATCCAAACATCCTCATGGTATTAAAGACCCAGGTCGCCCTTAGTATCTTCTGTTGGGGCTCCTCGAGCGATGTCCTCGTGGTTCCCTGCAAAGTTTGAAGGCATATACAGCATAAATAACATTCAAGCTTCAGACTCAACTCAAACTATGGAAAGTGACTGCCACATCTGGGGATCTACTAAAACCTCTCCGATTAAGATTATCAGATGAAAGCAAGCAGGGATTTTTAGTTACAATAATGTCATGGTGCGAATGGAAGATATGGGACCCTATTTTACTTTCACGTTGATCTCCTTTTAATTTTCAAGCAATTTGGCTGAATGCAGGAAGAAATCGCAATAGTTTGATGATTTATAAACTAATGTATTTGTCCAGAATCAAACCTCCTTTTCCTCATATTCCTCCTCCTGACAGAAGGTCCATTACTAAAGGCCCAGTCAACACTGATCATCTGGGTGAGAAGTTCTGTCCCATTCATCTGAGCTATCGCAGTCTGTGCATTATCGAAGCTCTCATATTCAATGAGCGCATAACCCTGAGAAGGAATCCACAATAAGCTATTAGAACAATTCATGTCCAAAGTACCAACAAGAACAACTGCATCCACAGTGAAGAGGCTTATGTTCCTCATCACGTCTCTCTTTGTTTCCACTGAGTAGTGGAGGTGATTATATCTACAGAGAGTACGAAGCATGGCTTGTCCAATTTCTTTTATGATTATTGTATCAAACTTATCTGGAAGGTAGATATAAGTCAAGGTTGTTTTTGTTCTAAGGAATTATCCAGTTTCCTAATTGGGGTTTGCATGGGAAATTATGTTGAAAAGCATTAACAACTTTCTGTTGTACAGTTTTTTTCATATGTGTTAATACGTTCCGGTGAAAAATCTAAAAATGCTGCAAGAGATTTGGGAGCCCAAAAGAAACGCTACTAATGGACAGTTTAACCATCCTATTGCATGAAGATATGTCCTAACTCCTAAAGACGAGAGTGCTTTTTGCCTTCCGGTGAGGTTTAGAATAAAAAGAACACGAGGACAACAATGGGCCTTGGGGATTTTGCCCAGATTGGTTTTCGCCTTTTTTTCCCACAGATGAACCACTCCATGTCAATTAGATATCATCACATAGCAAAAAAATGGCTTACGCTAAAAACTGAAACCCACTTAAAATTCTGGTGAATGATGATTTCCAAAAGTCCACTCACATTAAGCACTATAAGCAAGTTTAAACATCAAGTCCAAAACCCCGTTTTCCTTATTTTTCCATCGCACTATTTTCCACTAATTTGCAACTATTAAATAGATAACATCACCGCAGAGTTTGCCGAGCAGAAAGACTTAAATGAGATAAGCTAAAAACTAAGCCAAGGACAAAGAAATTGTTTACCTTAACAAATCCAGTTCGCCGGTCAAGATTTAAATGCAAATTCTTGATATCTCCAAACTCTCCAAATGCAGTTTGCAGATCATCTTCTTGGGCCTCTTCATGCACTCCAGTCACAAGAATGATCCATCCCTCAATGGCTGTAATCGTCAAACATTCCGATAAACACTTACAAGTAGAGAAAGAAAACCAGATATGAACAGGATTCAGCAGTTTCCTCCTTCATCATATATATAGCAGTCCATTAGAACCAAAGTAAGAGTACAAGGGCAAATTTCAAGAATCAAGTTCGAGTATCATACGTGGGCAATGACAATTTTCTCTGTAAAGAATGAAAGGCATCTGTACATTTTTCTTTTGATTTCAGCTGAAAGCCCCATCAGGATCGTTGTGAATTTTTAATTTCAACGGAAATCAGAATAGTAGACCGATTTATGAAGGTGGTCAACTTCACTGGATTTGTAGGCTTCACTATCACAGAGAATGATTGGCATGCTAGGCAATATCCAGAAGATTTTACATTTTCCTGGAAATTCATTCACCTAGTCGTCCATCGAAATAGCATCCAAGCCGCTGCACATTACTAGAGAATGGCCAAAAAAATTCGTCCCTGGTCCTTGCGCTAAGGCAGACATGTTCTATTTCCTCGCAAAGATTCACTGTTTTTCTTTAAAAGGTTGTTAGATTCACTCAACTTTGCCCGAGATAATTAGATTCATCTCGATTCTGCCATAAACCAACCCGGATTTCTTTCCTCCCCACATAAAATCACTCTTACACAGAGGCCACGCAAACGATACCATTTCACGCCTTAACTAGCACGTACTTATGACATAAATCTACACTGTCCACCACCCACCGGTGCCCCTTTCCCATTCCATTTTTGCATCTCCTCTGAGACTTAGCTCGCGAATCAGCACCCATCAGTTCATCAGCACATCGTAGCACACTGATCACTGATGACATTGATTTTGTCCTATCATGTGCAGTTATCTTCCCACTGGTCCCCTACATCATCCCGCTCAGCTTAAAAAGCATAAGAAGAAAAAATCCTACACCGGTATCGATCCGAACAAAGCGGACAAGGCAATACAATCTAAAAGGAACTTAAGCATCGAAGAATCACATGGAACCACCCAAACCCTAGCGTTGGGAAATAAAGTTCGAATCTGACGTAAAAAGCGACGGCACATTGAACGCATCAATCTACGAGCACGAGCATGAATTCCTAGGCACAGCGACCGCAAAGGAAGATTAATATTAGGGGCTACTGACATCGCAGAGGGCCGGGGCCGCCGTCGGTGTCGAGGGAGTCGAAGTCGCGGCCGGCGAGGCGGTTGTTGCGCTCGGCGTCGGCCTCCTCCCGGAACCCGCGGCCCTTGGTCTTCCTCGTGGCGAGCGAGGAGGAGCCGGCGCCGCCGCCGCCGCCGGTGATGGCGGACTTGAGCTTGGGGAGCGGGGCCAGCGGGGAGGCGTCGGCGTCGGGGGCGCCGTCCTCGTCCATGAGGTCGTCGTCCTCGGGCTCGAAGTCCAGCGCCTCCGCTTCCGCCGTCGTCATCGTCGCCGGATCTCTCTCTCTCTCTCTCGTACGTTCTTGAAGGACCGAGGGTTAGGAACCTTTCGTGCTGTGTGGCTTCAGTGCTTGCGAGCTGCGAGGTTTTCTCGATTTTGCGATTTCAGCCACGTCGACTTGATTGGGTTAATTCTCGCTCGACCCGAAAGTTCCAGGATATTAAAATTGTGCCCCCCGCAAATTTGTTCTCGTTATCAATTTGACCCCTGAGTTTCCTTTTGGACTTCTTTGTTGTTCGAAATAAGCGTTTAGTTATTAAAAGGAAAAATGACGCGAATGATCCTTGAATTTTAACCCAATGTCCAATGTCATATTTACACGTCTTATTTGTTCGATGTAATCCTCAAATTATCGATAAATGCTCAATATGGTCTTTCTGTTTGCTCGAATTACAGATCGGAATTTATGTGATGACATAAATTGTTATATGCTGAGTTGGATTTTTCAAAAATGACGAGTCAACATATCTACTGTTTATCCGTCTACTTTAGAAAACGAAAAATAAATTAAAGCATCAACATGTCCATCGTTATTTTACACGTACTATAGTAAAATAACATAAGCATCGATCTAGTGAACGCTATTGCTTTTTAGCCTGCTTAACAAGTAAGTGATCTCAAAACAATGTTATTCTAAGTCCTCGAGCTTTTGACTGATGTGCAATCCCATTACTAAATTTTCAACTGATTTCAATTAGGTCTCTAAATTTCTATTCGGTGTGTAATGTAATTCTTCGACTTTCAATTAGTTCAATTAGATCCTAAACTATTTAAACATGTTATTGCTTTTTAGCATGCTTCACAAGTGTTCTTCTAACACCGTTAAAAAGTGATAATTACATTCTAAGTCCCTAAACTATTGACCAGTGTGTAATCTCACTACTAAACTTTCGATTCATTCAATTAGGCCTCTAAATTTTCATTAACGTGTAATGTCATTCTTGAACTTTCAATTAATTCAATCAAATCCTAAACGATTTTAGTATGTTCAATGTCATCGTGTTATTAGCATTAATAAAATATGCTATACAAACACTGATCTAATAAAATTTACATCAAATGAAAAATATTATGCACATGGACTTTGTATATATAAATATTCACTTGAAATGACAAAAAGTAAATACAATGCTCCTTTTTCTATGCACACGCTATTCACTCTATGTTGACATTATCTCCTTCGATGAACATTCCCATCCAAACGGAAAGATTACATTAAACATTTACCGACATAATTAATCATGGGTCAATTGAATTTTGATCTATTCATACCACTCGATCCTTGACCTAAACTCTCATATCAAACAAGAAGTGTGTTATGCGTTGTTGCCAATTTACTCAGAGTTTCGTCTCACGGTTGAACTATAAGTGTGTTATGCTATAGTTGTGCCGTGGGTTGTAATTCGCGTGACTTGATAATGCACGTTTTAAATTCGTAACATTTCAAACCAAATGAAACCGGTTATTTAAAAATTCTTGTAAGTTGCCGTAACTATGAAGAGCCACAACCGTCGAAGTGCTCGCTAAACTTCGATGCCACAACACTCGCTTTCACATAATTGTTGCGGGGAAAGCGGTACCTTACAACATGTGCAGCTTGAGCATGCATAGAAATTATTAAGGAGAATTTTGGTGAAGAAAACCCCCCAAAAAACAAAACAAAAAAAAAATGAAACGACGAGCTAAAACCTAAACAATGGAACGGTCCCACCGGACCTCCACACCAGCCCGTAAACGGGCCCTAGGCCCAAACCGGGCTCAGGCCCGGTTCAATTTAGTCTTCGGCCTTTGTTTCCTTTTTCCTTTTACGTCCATTTATTTATTTATTTAATTTTTCCCGTGATCTTCTTCTTCTTCTTCTTCTTCATCTTCTTCGCCTTCACAGCTTCTTCTTCCCTCATGGGCGACGCACCAGCAGATTCCACGCGGTGAAGAACCGGCGAAGGCTCTCGAGTCTCGAGCCCGCCATGTACGTGTCTTCGCATTCCGGCTTGCGAACTGCACGGCCAATCTCTACCCCATCTGCTCTCGTCTCTCTTTGGCCGCGATCCCCCGTCGATTGATTGGCGAATGAATCGTTCGTCGCGATGAGCTCTTCTACTTCGGCTTCGGCTTCGTCTCGATCGAGTGATTCCAGAGCGAGGACGCTGTGGGGATCGTTGTTCGTCGCGGTCGGTTGCGTTTGCTTCGTCGCCTTTGCGTACGCGGCCGTCGTGTCCAAGCTTCTTCCGCCGTCGGACAACGCCGTCATCTCTGCGGTGCAGAACGACAGGTCAGTTCTCGACGGCGCATTGCTTTCGCGGCTTGTATTGTCGTGTGTGCGTGCGGCGAGCGTATCGATTCGAGTTTATCTCCCTGGCCAAGGATTGGAGCAGGAAATCATAGCGAAATGCTCCGTCTGTTCGGCGACCGTAATGTTAGGACTAGCGAGTTTGAGTAGGAGAGGCTCGTGAGGTTGTTTTGAGGCGTTTGGAAGTGATTTTTGCTTCAATTACGTCAGGAAGTACCGCAACACTACTTAACGATACTGAGAAGATGGGTCGTGGTCGTGGAGTTGTTCGAGTGAAATCAGAGTGTCATTTGTCGAATGTAATTTGAGTTTGGAAGGATGTCATCCCTACAAGTTTGTTCATTTCATGAAAATGAATCACCTGGGGATCCTTGTTTTGGTTAAGGAAAAGCTCCTCCGTCCCGTACAAGTATCCTGAGACCTCTGAATAAACATGAGTACTGCGTGATTAAACACAAGAAATTGCGTGTATTAGCTTATGATTATTCCAGTGGTCGAAAAAAATCTCTTAACTGATCAAAGAGCGGATTGGGTTACTTATCATCTGAAGCACCATACAAATAAGGTAGAAGTTCTCTTTAGCTAATCACGGCAAAAACAAAGGATCTACTGCTTTGGTTGTGGATGAGAGCGACTATCTGATCCACTTGAATTGGCCTAATGGTGATCTAATGCTTTGCCAAAGGGTGGAAATTTTTTTTCGAAGGAGGAGAACTGTTTTAGTTGTTAAGTGCAGCGTGGACTTTGAGACCCTCCTATGTTAGCCTTCTGCCACTTTTTCATGGCACTGTCATGTAAGAAGCTCTATTGTATTGTTTGGCTCTATGGCATATGCTTCCTGTGCACAACACATGATCACCCAGGGCAAGTGTTTGGCTAAGTCGCGGACTGCCATTATTATGAATCCTAATAAGTAAAGTTGATATCTCTCATGGATTAATGCCCAATGTTTGGACAGATTTAGAGCTTTATTGCATAATTTGTGACAAAGATTTCTTCATGTTCTGCTCTGGGACATCATGCCTTCTCTGGATGAGCATTCTCTTTCACTCTTCTGCTATGTTTGTCATGAATCACCAGATGAATGGCTGTAAGGATGCCAAACATGACATGTTATACATATGCTAATATTATGCATTTCCTGGACATAATTAATGCACATTCGCTGGCTTCTCTTTGCCGCGTATTTTATCGCTTGCTGCATAAGGTGTTTTCTTTGCGTATCATCTAAAAGGCTTTCCATTAACTCACCAAACCTCACTTCCTATCATGAATTAAACCTTTTCTAAAAAAATGTGTTGGGTCGTTCATATAACTATTTGTTTGTGAGTGAAGGATGTTTTCTTTCTTCCTATTGTTTACTTTGTTTGAGTAGCTCGTATACCTTGGTCCCAAAGCAAATCTTCACTGAAAATCAGCATTCTTGCTGTATGGTGCCTCAAACGCCCGAAGAATTTGTAGATTTCGTTGCGTTCAAAGTTTTGTTCTTTCCTTTCCTATCATTTATCATCTAGACTCTTGGCTTGATCTCGTTATGTCTTGTTGCTCAATGTTTTTTTCTTCGCCTAATTTGTTTCCTTTCCTATGGCAGGTACTATTGTTTTTTGGTTCCCCTTACACTCCCCATCCTCGTTGTCGCTGTATATTTTCATTGGCTCAGCATGAAGCTTTTCAAGCACGCATGATGTTTGTCTCATCAGACCGTGGTCGATCAAACAAACTGGCTGCTCTCCTTGCTGGTTCGCCAGATCCAATAGTGATAGTGGAATTTATGCAACTTCTGGTGGAAAACCATTTTTCTTTGTTGTAGTATGACAATATGATATATGCTAAAGCAATGAAGTTCCCTGGATTTGATACTTGTCTGGAATTAGGTATATCCATGCAAAAAACAGCCACTGGTTTCCTATCTGTGTTCATGGCAGGTTGTCAATATTGCAAGAGTCCCCATTGCATTTACTTTTGCCATCTTCCAGCTTGTCTATGGTTTAGTAATTGTTTTAATCATCATGGTTTCCTAACTTCCTGTATAGGAACTATTTTATGGCATACTCGCATGTTAGAAAATATTATATGCCAGCTTGGACTTAATTTCATAACATTGGTTATTTCACCATAATTCTGACTTTGAGTGACAGTGGAATGTATGTCAAATGATTGCAACTTTTCGAATTTGAAGAGTTCTTCATTTTTCATGCTACGAAGTGCAATTACTGTGACTCTAGTATGGTCACATTCACCGCCCTAAGCTTTTGTCGTAGTGATTGTATGCTTGACAAAGCTGTAGTCGCGTGGCTGAGAAAATTACTGGCCTGCTATCTGTGACACACGCCAATTATGAATATCAGTATGCTATATTTGCCACTTATGATTGAAACATGTGGAAAAATTTGACCTAAGCTTGAGGCTTGCATAATCTGAGGGCTAAGCGATCTGCCATTTGAATGGAAGATTGTCTTTTTAGAAGGAAGCACCGAAGGTATTTATCTGTTGGGAGACTTCATTCTTAACATTGCCTGCTGATCTCTTGGAAAACCAAATTCTTACAACTTAATTCATGTGCCAATTTCGACCAAAAAAAATAAAAATTCATGTGCCAATAAAATGTTGGTCAAAATGCAATGTACTTCACTCTGAGAGAGATACAAATCATCTTCAACTACATAACTTATTGGTGTTTCAAAAGAAGGAGGGTGATTATACCCGTGATTTATTTTGCATAGTTCAGTATATGTATTTGTACTTTGAGACATCAGTAGTCTATTTTGTTTTTGGTAGGTTGGGACTCACGAAATTGTGATGATAGTTGAGCATATGCTCTCGGGGAGCTCAGGTACTTTTGGGTGATTCTCTAGTGGCTGGTGTGCAAGATTGTAAGAGCCTTCTTACACATCTTTGAAGTAAGAAAAGATTCATCACAAAAATCTAGTGCTATGGATACTGCTTAGGAAGAATTTGGGCCATTTGTAGCTACTTAATGCGTCATAGACGAAAAGCAGCGTCCACCAATGCTATACCTTTGTTAGGATGCCAGTCCAGGTAGTCATCAGCTGCCTCGATTCTTCTTTCCCTAGGTCTAGAATCTTTGGTTCTCATCAACATCATGCAAGCTATCATCTGTTCATAGGAATATAAAAACAAACCCCGGTTACAGGAGCATCTGCAATCTTGTTGTATGTATCGAAATCTTGGATGTGTAGTTTTCCAAATGGCAGGGACCATGAACAAGGAGAAGGAATAAGATTTACGAGTTGATTCTCATATGCTAGTTGTGATCTGTGAGCAAAGCGATAAAAAATGTGCCTTGTCCCCTACAGTTGGCTTCTCCCAGGGAAGAGAAATTGCGAGAACGAAAGTGGGACAGAAAGGGAAAGTGAGATCCTTGGTATTTCTTGGATTCTGTTTTGGGTACAGTCCCTACCCCGCCTGCATCAGAATCAATTCAAAAAGAACAAAAGGGAAAGACTTTTCCTTCTCCTTTCCGATATGGAATGCTAATCTTCTTTTCATGAATTTTATTGTGGATGTCTTTTTTGAACTCGGCAGTGCAGCTGTGTACACGTTGAGATGGTGGCCAATCTTGTCAACATCGGTGCGGATTTACGCAACCAAGCATGATCCCTGTTTTTCGATTTCGGCCGTCACCATGACAGTGACCGTAGTGGATGCACGACATCGAATCTGGACCATCGAAGATGACGGGTTCCGCACGGGCCTTGCATGGGTCGCGCCAGATCCGACGGTCCAGATTGAGCCTAGTACAGGCACCAAGGCTATGTAGTACTCGCTCGTTTACGGCCTTTCTAAGCCCTGAACAACGTGGGCTCTCGCGTTGTGATTATAAACGGTCTCTTAAGCTATTTGGGATGGTGTTTAGGACATCCATTGATTTAAACACGACATTATAAAATAATTCTGGTATGTTGTGATCGGGCTTCGCAACGCTGCGGGGAAGGGGCAAATTTATAATAAAAACTCCACGACAGAAACTGTCGGAAAGCACAAAAGACCAAAAAAAAATGATGAAACGAAACGCGACAGGACAGAAGACGACAGACACGGACACGCTCCACGGAAGGAAGGGAAGGGGGGGGATAATAAGTTTTTGAATTTCATGTGTCCGCGGCCTTGAATCGCGCGAGTTCAGTCCTTGTGGTTTGTTCTCTACCATTGCTGGTGTGCAGGCGTGCTCCAGCCTCGTCTTCCTCTTCTATTTTTTTATTTCTTGTATCTCAATTTTCCCAAGAGAATAAATTTTTTTTGAATATGGGGTCTTGATGAAAGAACGAATTGAACATCGAATCTCCAAGTTGTTTCCAAACAGTTCATGTCATTGCACTCTTTTGTCCGTTTATGATTCGCTAGTGTTTATGTCCCGGATGAAGTTTCCACGCCCTTTGGATATGAGAATATCACAGTTTCGTACTTAATTCTCTCCATCTTAAAGAGGTCATTGATCGTCCTGTTCTTAGTTTTAGGATTTACTAGCGTGTCTCAAATAAGAATGCTTAGTATCTTTTACACTAGTGTCACAGGTTGATAGTTCCTTAGCCGTGAAGTAGCCCGTACGGTGTCTAGCGAACTGAGAACACCATATCAATCTTCCTTCTATAATTGTTCATAAGAATAGTACGATGAATAGCATAACGAGAACACCAAGCTAGCTTAGCTCAGACATTCAGTTCCTCGGGCAAAACACACATAACACTTTAAGTACAATAACTAGTTTCACCTTACTATGGCTTTATCGGAGAGTGGCATCAACTCCCAATAAGTTTGTGCATAGGAGGTTAACCCCTCTTTCAAAGCTTCTAAGAGTATATTCATTCTAACATAGAATTCCTAGCACAAACCACTTTGACGCCACTCTCACGAACTAGTTGTATTATCTCTTCCGCATCACTCGCTCTTCACCCCGACGGCACTAAGCTTCACTTACAAGGGTACGAGAGTACCAGAGAATTGTGGTCCGTGACATTCTCCTCCATTCAATTCCACAACGCCCTCGTTGCAAGCTGTTCAGTCGCTTCCCTGCATTTCCTAACCGCCAACGCCACTCCCTAGGACTTACACGAATGGCAACGTTCGCCCAACACAATAGGCCACTCCACTCCACTGGTAGCTTCCCTCTATCAAAGTTGTTCGTAAATCTCCAGTCACTTGTGTTTCCTGATAAGTGTGGTATCTCTAGCCAACTGCACTCCCTTGGCAGCACCTTTTTTTGCCTACTAGACTTCTCTTAATCTCAGCAGGCCACTAGAGGGTTCTCCCTTGTTAGAAACGTGATAACAGACCTCCTTTTGAGATTCGCCAATTGATCTAAGAACGTCATCCCTATTTAATGCGTAATTCGGTTCCTCCTTGTGCCCCCATTGTCATCCTAGAAGCTAGACGAAAGCTGCACTTTGTCCGAACCCTCTTAGTCTCGGCAATTCACTCTCCGCCCTCACGAGATTGGGAATACCACGAACTTTCCCTTAATCACCCACCTACTGGAGGGATCCCTGCTCCTATACCATTTGTCATGGGCCGACAATTCATTGACTGTGGAATAGCCTATGCGGTGTTTGGCAAACCGAGAACATTAAGCCAGCCTTCCTCCTATTATTCCTAAGAACAGTACAGCGAATAACATATTGAGAACACTAGTCCAACTTAGCTCAAGCATCCAGTTTCTCGAGCAAGACACACATAACACTTTAGGCACAATAACTGATTTCGCCCTGCAATGGCCTCATGTGGAGAGCAGCATGAGCTTCCGACCAGTTTGTTCACGGGGGGTCAACCCCGCCTTCAGAGCTTCTAGAGGCATATTCATTCTAACCGATAACTCCTAACACAAGTCACCCTGACGCCATTCCCACGAACTGATTGTATTATCTCTTGTGCATTACTCGCTCTTTGCCCTAACGGCACTAAGCTCCACTCACAGGGGTACGAGAGTATAGGAGAATCATAGTCCGCGACACTAGCATTTTTTAGTTTGTGTGCGAAAGAAATATTGGGATCATTCCTTTGGATACAACACACGCGTGGTAGAGAGTATTTTTTTAATCAAACTTTGAGAATCATGGCTCCGTGGGATCATGACCTAGAACTTCTCTAGAAATAATAATAACGGCACACGGGCTAAAATTTGAGAATATTCGAAACATTAAAAGAATAACACGGGAAAAAGAACGACTTGGTGTAACCGTAAGACGAGAGAAATTTAAATTATATTAAAAACCCATGAGAGATTTATCGGACATCTCGGCATTTTTAAATTTATGGCGAAAATTCGAGACTGAAGCAACGTTCAGTTTGATGCCAAAATACATAGAGCCATGTAAAGCAAGAGATTAGCTAAACCCAAATAAAGCAAATGGAGGTAGACCTGTGAAATGGGTGGGTCGGATCATAAATGGGTCGACCCAACTTGATTAATTTAACCCGTTTATGACCCATTTATCACAAGTTAAAAATATTGACCAATACCCAACCCATTTAACTAAATATAGAAAAGCTTATTTCTGATAATTATTTTAAAAAATTGTATTGCTAAAACATCTTCATGCAATACAAATCTTTAAAAAAAAATTGAGCCTCCGTTTATTTCGCAGAAAATAAAACATTTCTAGAAAATGTTTTTACGAAAATGACAATATTTTCGATATTTGGCTGAAACCTGGAAACGAATTAGAAAATATTTTCCGCCGTTTGGTATAAAAAATCATATTTTCCTTTATGCATTCGTTTTAATATTTTTATTTTTATTTTAAAAAAGTCATATTTTAATTAATTTTCTTTCTTCTTTTTTCTTTTCCTTTTATTTTTTTCTTTTTTCCTTTTCCCCCGCCGGTGGCCAGCCACGGCAACGGTTAACAATCGGCCACAGGTGAGGGATGAGCTCGCCGGCTAGCTCACCGGAGGCCGGCGAGGCCTCGGCCTCCCTGCTGGCTCTGGCCTCAGCCTCGCCAGATCGGCGAGCTCGAGCTCGCCCAAGGCCGGCAAGCTCGAGTCTTGCCAGATCGGCGAGGCTCGAGGCTCACCCGAGGCCAGCGAGCTCAAGTCTCGCCAGAACGGCAAGCCCGAGTTTTGCTGGCCTCCGGCAAGCTTGTCCCTTGCCTGTGGCCGGCCACCAGTGGGAAAGAAGAAAAAAGAAAAAAAGAAAAAGAATATACAAATTTAAAAAATTAGAAAATTAAAAAAATTAGAAAATTAAAAAAATTGAAAATTTCACTTAAGCTTTGATCCATTAAGTTAATAAACAACCTATTAATGATCCATTTAAATATATTTTTAAAACTAAATTCAACCCACTTATAATCCACAATTATTAGATACGGGTTAACATATGGGTTCTTGACCCATTTACCACCTCTAAAACGGAGGAAAGGGATGCAAGCTGCCAACGAGCAAGAACTTGAGGGGGGAAGAAGAAGCTGACGATGATGGGCATAATCTTTTACTTCCTCAGTCGATAGTGATGGTGGTGGCGGCAACGTCGTTCATCAATGTCGGGGGGACGAGGGCGATCGGTGTGCGGTCTCTGATTCGGGATCAGCATGGACGCCCATGCATGCAGACGCGGAGCCGACGTAATTCACTCTCGGTCCCCGCGACTCCGGTGCCAAGGGACGTGCCCCGCCGCCGCCGCCGCACGGCGGCCCTCCCAGCGCGGCGCGTGGTTCCCCCCCGCTCGTGGGGAGCGAGTGGCGTCGTCACCGTTTCCTCCCCCGCGCACTTCAATCTTTTGGGAGGGCGCAGATCTGAATCTATCCCCGCTTTTGCCCTGTTTTTTGTCCATTTCCTCGCGGAGACAAAACCCCTCCCCCGCATTAAATAATAATTGCAGTCTCTCTCTCTCTCTCTCTCGGACAGGAGAGAGAGTGTGAAAGAACGAGTGAAAGATGCTTTTTTTTGGGGGGGGGGGGGGGGAGGATGATGCTGTTGCTCACTGCTGCTGCAGCTCTTCGTGCTGCTTTGGAGCTCTCTTTTAAAGACTGGGAACCACATCTTTTACTGGCTGGGAACCAAACTCTCTCACAGTCTCTCTCTCACAGTCTCTCTCAGTCTCTCTGTCACTCCCACTTCCTTCCTTTCCTTCCTTCTCTTTTCTTGCTTTCAGGAGCATGGATGGGATGATGAGGCTAACAAGGACCTCACTTTTCTCTCCTATCTATCTTCTGTTCACTAACCCAGTGTAATGTAATCATCATACACGATTATGTACTGCCGAACTCCATCATCATTGCCCCCCTCTATCTCTCTCTCCCTCTCTCTCTTTAAAGCTAGCCCAAACTCCCTCATAGTCATGATCATCTTCCTCCGCTCTCTCTAGGCGGAGACTTCATCATCATCATCATCTTCATTGAGCTCTCTCTCTCTCTCTCTGTGATTATCATTAGCATAGAAAAATGGACTCATACGAAGCTACGAGGCTCGTCTTCTCGAGGATCCAGAGCTTGGACCCGGACAGTGCCTCCAAGATCATGGGCTACATCCTCCTCCAAGACCAGGGCGACAAAGAAATGGCCAGACTAGCCCTCGCCCCCGACCCCCTCCTCCGCGCCCTCATCCTCAAGGCCAAGTCCCACTTGTCCCTCTCCCTCTCTGGGACCTCATCTTCAACCTCCACGACCCCCTCTTCTCCTTCCTCTGCTGCTCTCAATCTCAACCCCATTTCACGAAGACCCATCACCCACCACCACTCTCTCTCCATCCCCTCTGCGAGAAGCACCCCATCCTACGCAAATGTCGTCAATGGGGTCACTCACAACACCACCCCCAACATCCCCAGCGACCCCGTTGACGATTACCAGCTCCAGGACCACCTCTCCTTCCTGAACGACCCCAAAAGCGACGACCTTTACGACCCAAGACTCGAGTTTGCTCCGAACGGCGACTCTGGCTTGTCGCACAGAAGATGCTACTCAATACCCGGAATGCGTCTTGGGTCTTATGCTGCTGGCGAAGAACCGGGTCTTTCTGGGTTCGGGTGGAGACCGTGCCTGTACTTCGCGAGGGGGTTCTGCAAGAACGGCACGAGCTGCAGGTTCCTCCACGGCGACTCGGGGGACTGCACAGACGCCTCGGCAGCGGTCAATGTCGGGTCGCCGGTCAAGTTTAGCGAGCTCGAACAGTTCGGACCCGAACTCGCCGCAAGATCGAAGGCCGCGGTGGTGGCGCAGCAGCAGAGGTTGAAGCTCTTGGCCGGTGCTTCTGCTTCGTCCTTGCCTTACAACAGTTGCGTGGACTTGTTTCTGCAGCAGCAGAACGACACCCAGAGGTGAATTGTGTTGTTTTAGTCGTTACATTTTTGTAATTCGGAACTTTGTTGGAGTTCGATTGATCGGCTTGGACCGTTCGGAATTTAACTCAGAATTAAGAGTATTGATGTGCAGCTTGTTGGGTTTTATGGTTTGTTGACGTGTTTGTGATAGCATTGCGATTTTGGTTTAGATCGACTGCTCCAGAGTTCATGCTGAGGGAGGAGGTGCACAAATTCGGGCACATTCAGTCTGAAAGGAGCGATTTTTCGGGACTAGGATTGGGAGGAGCGAGTAGCCCTGGGTCAAGGCAAATTTACTTGACATTTCCTGCTGATAGCACTTTCAGAGAAGAGGATGTTTCGAATTACTTCAGGTAAATCAATGTTGCCCAAGCCCAATGTTGTTTCAAAGAAATAGGAGTTTGAAAGTTTATGCTGACAAGTTGATTTCTTTTGTGAATTTTTTGTGGGAATTGAAGCAATTATGGACCGGTACAAGATGTGAGAATTCCTTACCAGCAGAAGAGAATGTTTGGATTTGTTACTTTTGTATATGCGGAGACCGTGAAGCTCATACTGGCCAAAGGCAATCCTCACTTTGTTTGCGATTCACGGGTGCTGGTTAAACCTTACAAGGAGAAAGGCAAAATTGCAGATAGGTGGGGGCTATGTTCTTGTTTTCAAATGCTTGCTGGCTCTTCATTGTCTTGCTGAGTTAATTGATTTATGATGTTCATGTCGTTCGCGAAACTTTTATCAGGAAACAACAACAGTTCATGGATAGGGGTGAATACTCGGCATGCTTGAGTCCAACCGGGTTTGAATCGAGGGAACCTTTTGATCTCCCCTTTGGTATGGCAATAAGTGAAAGCGTGTTCAACCAATTTATGCTTAAATCATTTTCACCTCTCGACATGTTGTAAATTTGCTTTATGTCGCATTGAAGGTTCGAGAATGAGTTACAATGCTCAGGAGATGTTGCTTAGAAGGAAGTTGGAGGAACAAGCCGATCTGCATCAAGCAATTGAGCTTCAAGGGAGAAGACTTGTGAATTTGCAGCTTTTGGACTTGAAGAATCGCTACCGGCAATACCCTCATAATTTATCAGCCAACTCCCCCATTTCCTCACCAGTTCTTCCTCGCTCTCCCAATGTTCAATCACTGAATCTTCCCCCTAATGCCATCAACCAAGAAGTTGCCAGAGGTGGGAACTAATGATTCTTGTTTCTTATGGTCGAATTCAGCTGCATTGATCGTCACTATAGCTAGTTATCCTTAATAGTGATAGTTTTGCTTTTGGCTTTGCTACAGCGGCATTTGTTGATGGTTCGGTGCTGATGAATTCCGAATCCGCAGAGAGCGAAAACCCGGTACTGCACGGTGTGGATGGAGCTTGGGTTGAGAAAGATTGCACTGGCAAGAGAAAAGAGGAGAGCTCCGTTCCTGGAGAGTATGATCACCATGAAAGGTGCGAAAAGTTTTCCCCTTCGATGTATAAAATGATTGCCCTCGATAGAAAATCTCATTTCCAGCTCAGTTTCAGTCAAAGGACCTGTATTGTAATGTTTTGTACATTCTGGGTACTTGTAGACCCATAATTATTGTCTGCTTTTGACATTGTCACTTCTCGCTATGATTACTAAGTAAGCATACTCAATAAGGATGCTTTTTTAATAACATGAAAAAATAATCTTGCATATAGATGCTTTTTTAATAACACGAGAAAAATAATCTATTGAAGATGCAAGTTGCTCTATTTAATTGATTAGTAAATGTTTTGAAGATACTCATCAGCAAAAGCTTTATTAATTAAGTATTCTTTTACTCATGTTCTCGGACAGCTTAGAGCACATCCTCCCAGATAACCTCTTTGCCTCTCCCAAGAAATCAAGGTCTGACAATCTCACTGCCTTCAACACTTCTCTTGCTGATGATGAGTGTGATGATAGTATCACAAGTTTGATCACCTCATCTGCTCCAACCAATGAGCCCTTGCTGACTACTTCATCAGCGCTCAATATTGCTGCTCTAAAATCATGTTTGTTTCACGTGCCCAGGTACGCTTAGGCCATGATTTCCAATGATCAATAAGATTAGAGTTTCCTTTTTTTTTTTTTTTTTGGGGGGGGCGGTGGATTATTGACTTTTGTGTCCTTCCCAGTTTCTCTTCTGGGCATGGAGCAATTGGAATGTAGTTGACCACGTGTTAGAATGGACAGCTATAGAGATATTTCCTTACTTAGGTAGGTGGAAATCATTTCAAACTTTCAATTTGATTGAAGCTGTCACGGTATGAGAGAGATCTCTAATTTTCTGCTTAAATATTTATGTGCAAAGCTACTTTTTTTGGACCCTTTTTTTTGCAGGGATGTTTCAGAAGAATGAGCAGTGAAGAAAGAAAGATCCTCCTATAGCTGTATAGACCAAGAAAAATTATAGCCTCATCAAAGAAAAAAGGAAGAAAGATTGTCTTGACAAAATCTGAGCAAAGATCACCACCATCATGGTCATCATCACCAAATACATACTTTAACAGTCAATACACACTGCAATACATATATAAAGGACAGATGAACCGATTTATGGAAGTGGGGTCCTTCTCTTTTCTACATGGAAGTGCTCTCTCTCTCTCTCTCTCTCTCTCTCTCTCTCTCTCTAGGTTTGGTCTGTGTGTGTGCTGGGACCACACTGCAATAGCAATACCAGAAGAAACAAAGGCTAGTGACTCCTAAATGTTTTAATATAATATTGTTGTAATTTCCATCATCTTTTTTCTTGTTGCTTTTTAGACAGAGGAAGAGAAAAATGACTGGAGAAAAATGAGACCCTTTTTCTCTCATGTAAGGCTTTAAGTCACAGTTGTATGTACAGAAGCAGAATTTAAATGGAATAGTAGCTGAAATATTTGCCAGTACATTCACTTACAGATGAGAAGTGCCACTGTTTTTTTATGAGGGGCTTTGGTGATGGAAAGCTGTGCCCTTTTGGCACTTACTTTTGAGCTTCTCTTTTTTTCTTTACTTATTGTTCTTTGTTGCTACTACTGTACTCCACTAGATGACATGAAAACAGACAAAGAAAAAGTGCTGTGAGGAAAAAAGGAAAATTTGAAAGAACAAAACAATGAAGGGAGGTGTCTGAAGAAAGGGTTGATGTTTTCATGTGATTAAAGGTCGCTTTAGAGGACTCCTTTGTCTCAATTTGCGGTTTCTCTTAGGTGGACATGAAGGGGAAAGGGCCACACTGTCACATGGGTCTCTGACACCTGAGTGAATGATATCCGGGTCTCCCCCCACTCACTCCTTTCCCTTTCACCCTTCTTTTGTTTGGCCTCTTTCAATTTAATATTATAATCTGCACTTCATAATTATTATTATTGAAGAAAGTTAATGATTATTGTCAAGAGGTGGTGCTCAATGATTAGTGATCATGGGAGTCTCATGTTCTGTGACGTGGACATGAATGGAGGGCAATTGATTTTGCACATCATGAGAAAATTTGAACAGATGAAATCTATGTTTTTTTCACTGGGTAAAGAAATTTGAGTGGAGTTTAATTAGTGCCCCAGGTGATGATTAACAAATTTCCCCATTAACATAATCCTTTTTGGATTTGTATAATCTGAGTGGGGGCTGGTAGCCCCTGTTTTCTGGCAATACTTTTCACCAAATACTGGTTCTGCGTGTCAGCACGCCTTTCTCTCTCTCTCTCTCCATACTGCTCTTAGTCACCATTTTACAAGAAAATGAAACGATAATTATTATGATAACTCGAGATAAAACCATTTATCTTTTTTTTTAAATGTTAGGTTTATTCAGTCTTACTCCCAAAATTCATTTACTTAGTGATTTGTCGTATAATAGATGACTCTTTAAATAAGCGAGTCATATTCCATAACCTATAACAATATAGTAAACGAATTTTGTAAACCGGATTAAGTGAACTTTAGCATTTCTCACTGTAATAGTGCAATCGTGCGAAAACTCTCTAGGTGCATCTGTTTCGTAAAAAATAAATGATTCTGAAAATAATTTCCCAAAAAACGATTCGATTGTATCGTTGATAAAAAAGAACGAACAAAAAATATTTTCATCTTCCACGAAAATATTTAGACATAAGTAATTGCTAATAATAAAAAGATTTTTCATTGACTAATTATTTCAAGCCGATATAAGCGATTATTCTTAAAACAAAATTTCCAATCATTCAAATTTCGCGAAACAGACTATGCCTTTGTCATTTATTTTCTTATCATGAAATTTTTTGGGCTGCTTCGATGGCTTTCGTTGAAAAAATGGACGTAATTGTTCTTATTCTATAAATACAAACATCTCGAAATGTGTTCAATGTTTGACATATATATATATATATATATATATATATATATATATATATATTTTTTTTAATTTCATTCCTTTGATTCTTGTCATGGAGCTTGGCAGATTGGAATTAAAAAAAGGCTGTAAAACCAAATTCGGAGATTAAATAAGGAAAAAAAAAAAAGCAGAGAAATTAGAGGTTCGCACGCCTCGCAGTGAACAGTGAAACCTTCATCGAAAGCTTCGTCCTTTATTAAATAATTTTCCCCCCTTTTCAATGCTTCTCATCTCTGAAAATGGAAAGCAGCCACTTTGATTAGTGGAAATAGCATCGGCCCAATTTTTTTTTTTAATCTCCTTTTTGTTGCTTTAAAAGATCATATAGTCTTTTAACACTTTACTTATAAAAAATGCATTCAAACTTAATTAAGTTTGCATGCCTTTCAAATTGGACTTCATTATGTACCATCTAAAATGGTTCTCGGGTCTCGTTTTCTTCTTATCGTAATGTCTTTTAAAAAGACAAGCCATTGCGTGTTGGCACGATAATCGGATGCCCTAACCTCTAGCCTTAAAAAGTGAGAAGTCCAAAGTTCAACCTTCCTTGTCGTTGTATAAACTAGGGTAAAAAATCACTTATTGTGATTGTGTTCGAAATGATAGAATCACCACATCCGTAGAATATTAGGTCAAACAAATCACTGAAGGGTAAATTTTTTTTTGTAGGGGGGGGGGGGGGGGGTTTTGATTGAATGATACTTTATTTGTGTGGTCCGTGACTTTGAATCGCACGAGATTATCACGAGAAAAATGTCCGCGTAGTGTCACGTCAAAATAGTATAAACACAAATTATAGTAGAGAAGAAATGAAAGGAAAAAGGAGAACAAGAATATCGAGGGAATGCTTCTCTCTCTTTTCTACCACTTTTTAGTGGGTGCAAAATATGAACCTAGCATTGAGCATTTGGCTATGTAATAGTCGGGCATGCTTGAGCATGATCGATGAAGGTTTTATTTTTATAGGGTGTTTCGTGAATCAGTACACATGTCTGGATAGAGAAGTTTGGTTGCCGACATTCTAGCTAGCCGATCCAATTTTTCTACGGTCGTCTAAACTTATCACGCGACGGTGACATGTGTTTCTAATCGCGTGTGGCCATCTTCTCGTTCACACGGGCCATTGAATTTCATGCATCTCGAAAGGTGAAAGATCATTCAACTCAACGAGTAAATTAGATGCATGAGAGCACGTTGAGAGAGACTAAGATGATATGCAAGTGTGTGTACATGTGGAGTGGAGTGTGGACTCCACATATGTTCTAAAAGCGCGCGAATTTGACGGAGACGATTAGCCTATGTTTAGAAGCCTTTAGACAATGACTTCTCTAACGTGGTGCAAAATTGTTTCTCTACAAGTTCTTGGGCATCTTGTGAACTAGGGTTGGACCCATACCATTAAAGCTTTGCCAACATGACCAATGCTCAGTTTACTAAGATTTCGAAATTAGTAAATTAGACGATGAGACTGGATTATTGTTCGGAATTGAGTGAAACCCACGTATTATAAATGCTAAGTCGCGGTATGCCCACAAATCTAGTATATTGATTATGTAGGCCAATCTTCACATTTTACCCTTTTTTTCTCCTTCAAGTCAGTTGAATCCTATTTGGGCACATCTGACCATCCTTGCATACATCATTTCGTAATGATCTTATTCTATCAATTAACCGTCATCATCAAACGTTGAAGTGGATATGCGACATTATGGACATTGTATTGGAGACCAAACATAACTCTTCGATTGAAATTATCAAAATGTTGTGGGAGGGAACTCATAAAAATTGATATGAGAATGTCCAAACTATTAATTCAATGTAACATAGAAAAGTGAAAGTTATGGTGATTATAGGCAACATTGCCCTATTTCACACCAACGCTCATCGCTTTTAGGAGGTGAAATGAGAAAGGTTAGGCCCAAAATTCACTTCTCAGCCCAAGTCCCGTTTTACACTCCAACTCCTGCTTGCTTCTTTTTTTTTATTTTCTATTTTTCATTTTTATTTGCACTCCAACTCCTGCTTGCTTCCTTTTTTATTTTTATTTTGGATTAATATCATGAAAAACTCAAAACTGGTACACTCGTGACAAATCTAGCCCGAACTAATTTTTTGACTACCAAAAACCCCATATTGGTATATTAGTGACAAATTTACTCTCCGTTAATTTCCGTTAAATTTTACCGTCAAATTGCTGAGTTGGATGACACGTAGCAGTTGACGGGTGTACTAATTACCCTCCATTTGTCACAGGCTTATCGGTTTGTGGTTTATCGCGGTATTAATCTAATTCACTGAAATTAACGAAGGGTAAATTGGTCACAAATGCACCAATTTGGCGTTTTTTGTGACAAAAAAATTAGTTTTTGGTAAACTTATCACGTGCGTACCAATAAAATTAGTTTGGGATAAAATTGTCACGGGTGTACAAATTTGAGGTTTTCCGCGATATTTACCTTTTTATTTTTTCCTTTTTTCTAAAGACTTTGGTAAAATATTATGAGTAAAATCAGTTAGGGCACAAGTAAAAAAACTCGGTGTTATATGTATAGCCTAGGGTGGATCTTATTGTTTTCGTTGGGGTGTGTTTGTTTTACGGAAAACTCAAGATCTGGGAAACGTTTTTCGAAAAATGATCTCCTGTATCGCTTACAAAAATGAATAAATGTAAGATATTTTCATCATCCACAAAAATACACTAATTTTTTTCAAGAGATATAACCATTCACTTTTTGGAATATATTTTCAAAACCTCGAGTTTTCTGTTAAATAAACACACTCTTAATATAGCCAGGAAGAAATAAGGCCATACACGGGCGCGCAAAATTTCACCTCGAAATATTTTAATAGTATTATATATATGTTGGTAGCTAAAAGGTGATGTGTAAAGTTAGGGTCCGATCTGACCAAAAAACCAAATAAGGATCCGATGATTCAAAAAGAGGGAGGACACAATTCTCAACCAACATTTGAGATTTGACTACTCCTCCCTAGATTCATTGGAGGAAACAGAAAAATAGAAAACAAAAAAAAAAATTGAAAAAAAAGGAAATAATAAAAAATAAATTACAGCATCGAATGCGGAAAAAATCAAGGAATAAGTCAAAAACAGAATCACACGTTCAACAGCGTTAGTTGTTTTTTGCTGCTGTTGAATCTGACACTCGGTTTGCTGTACGGTGCATGATATTTGTGCCCTCCTCTTCTCTGTCCAATTCAAAGCCTCTTTTCTTTTCTTTTCTTTTTTTTAATTTCTGCCCATAATAAATAAATGGTTTTCATAATTTTTTTTCATAGTCCAACTTTTTTATTTGATCTTTGATTCTTTTTTTTTTTTCGTAATTTATGTAAACATAAAACTCTATTTTGCTGGGAAAGTGAAAGTACTACTTGCGTAGATTCAAGATAAGCCATATCTCGGTTCGCCGCTCTCTTTCGGTTGCTGATTAATGTCGACCTATTATTGTGAGTAGGGGAGTGCAAAACGGACCAGGAACCGCCCGGATCAGCCGGTTTGGTCCGGTTCCCGGGAGTATCAATCCGATTTCCAAAAGTGGAATCGGTGTCCGGGAGATTCGGTTCCTGATTCCAAGGGGGAATTGGATCGGATCGGACCGATTACGTATACTTTTTTTTTTTCAGAAAAATTAGTAAAACGTGAACTAAACTCACGTGCATCACTTTCCCCTTATCGTCGCACCGCGATGACTCTTCACTCATCATCGCTTCCGTCAATATATTGAGATTTGTCACTTTTTCTCATTATGATGGGAAAAAAAATAAGAAAGTGACCGGTTCCATTGATTTAGTCCGGTCATCATTTCTCAAAATGTCCTTCGGTCCGGTTCCCGGTTCCACATTGGAACCGGACCGAACCGAAAACCAATCATTCCTAGTCGTGAGATACTTTCAAAAATACCGTGATGTTCTCGAAGGATGAAAATCGACGATTTTTTTAGTGATATAATAGAGCCGGATGAGATCTTTCGTAATCTTTCAAAGGGTAAGTTCTTGATTAATGTACGAGAGAACTTATTTTGTTAGGAGCTTTATGTAAAGTTTTAGAAATTTGATACGATATCCAATCTTATTGATTTTGATTCCCAATCTGAAGGTGTCCTTGTGGATGGGGAGCAATGTCCCAATTAGGTGAGTTTGTTTCATATATTTTCCATATTTTTTCATGCATTTTTAATGTCATATCGCAAGTAGCCTTGAGCCATACTTAAGAATCAATAACAACCCGACACCTCGCTTAATAAACGAATTTCGCAAATCGGACTCGATAAGTCTTGCATTTTCTTTTTTTCCACGTAAATCATCTCGTGTGTGTCCGTTACTTGCCATTGGCCAATCCATTGATTTGTCACAATCTCGTGACAAATAAAGAGCGCCCTACGACGACGACGACGACAATGAGGGGGCGGGATCTGGGGGATGCATCCTCCTACGCCAACTCACCACGTACCCGACCATTTCACGAGGCCGTTTCGTGCTCTGCCGTACTTTGTCGCGAGCTTACGATTGAGCTCGAAAAAAAGTGCGTTCGAATGATGTGCGGGGCAGTGACCACCCTTCTCGCTTAGAAAGGGAGAGATGGGGAGTTCGATTCCCCATATTCTCGAGAGGAGGGCCGGGGGGGTCGGGACGCGCGAGTGAGAGAGCACCTTTCGAAACTCGCGCGGCACACATCGATCTGTAAAATAGAAACAGGATAGATCCATGCAAAAAAAAGAAAGAACGACGTGCGCGATCTTTCCAGATTGCATACTCCCTAAAAACAAAAGGTCGGGGGGGGGGGGGGGGGGACACTTCGGTAGATAAAAAGGGAGATTTCAGAAAAGGGAAAATTGCATCCGATTTCGATCAATGTTACCGTTACACTGTTCCCGTGGGCCGAGGAAGCCAGCCGTGATATTTGCAAATATTTTCGTACAGACTCGATCGAATCGGGCGACGTAAAATCAGCTTTTCCAGGACGAGCACGCCCCCATTCAATCATCCCTAAAGATCACTTTCTTCTGTGTTTTTTACTATTTGCGGGATCGGAACGGTGACGTCACTAACCCCCCCCCCCCCCCTTTCCCCTGGGTAAAAAAAACAGAGAAAAGGGGGTAAAAACCAGGTTTCGCGCAAAAACAAAAACAAAAGAAGGAGGAAAAAGAAGAAAAAAACACTGGCCCGTCACGTGCGGGGCGGGCGCACGTACAGAGGGCGTGCGGTTAACTTGGGTGGGAGCGCGCGGCCGGGTGTGGGGGGGTGACGAAATTACGGTCTCGCCCCTGGGGAGGGCCCCGAATTACGGGCCCCCGGCACCCGGCCCCGCGCCGGGTCAAAACAAAGAACCAGGGGGGCGGGGAACGGAGCCCCAGAAGAAAAACAATGGAGGAAAAGCAGTGAAAAAAAAAGATAAGGGATTTTGGTCCTTGCTTGCTGCCTCTCCAAGCCCGCTTTTTACACTTCAAACCCTACTCTCTCCCCATCTCTCTCTCCATCTCTCTCTGTCTGTGCAGCAAAATGACACATAAGGATACTGCAGCGGCACCCTGACCCTCTCCCTCCCTCTCCTCTCCCCTCCCCTCTCTCTCTCTCTAAGCCCTCCTAGAGAGAGAAAGACCCAGTAGGAAGTAGAAGCAGAAGCAGGAAGGAGGAGGAAGGAGGAAGGAAGGCAGGGGGGTGAGACATGGACGCGAACGAGGCGACCTCCATAGTGCTGTCCAAGATCAGGGGCATAGACCCGGAGAACGCGTCCAAGATCATGGGTTACCTCCTCATCCAGGACCTGACCGAGAAGGATTTGATACGCCTGGCGTTCGGCCCGGAGACCCTCCTGCACAGCCTCATTCTCAAGGCCAAGACCCAGATGGGACTTTCGTCGAGCGCCTCGCCTGCGCCTTCCGCCAACCCTCCCCACCACCCCTCCCTCGCCGCCCCCGCCATTTCCATCCCCGCCAGCCATGGCACCGCCAGCGCCCACGGGCTGCCTCAGTCCTCCCCCAGGATCACTCCCCGCGGGGACTACGAGGTCGGGAAGGGGCCCTTCTCTGGGTTCGCCGGCAGCGTCGCGAGGCAGAACTCCAGCCCTTCGCTTCCTTTTGAGAGCGCTCGTCCTGGGTCGTATTTCGCTTCCTTGAACGGTAGCAGCAGCAGCGGCGGCGTGAACGCTGGCGGTGCGAGCGATTTCATGGAGGATAACAATCAACTAGGCGATTACTTTGCGTTCCTCAACGATTCGTCCAAGTCCGGCGATGCTTTCGAGATGGGGTACAATGCGGATACGCATTTGCACAGGAGGAGTTACTCCGAGAGCGACGTGGGCTTCGGCTGCGGCGGCGAGGACGCGTGCTTCGGGGGCGGGTATAGGCCGTGCCTGTACTTCGCGAGAGGCTTCTGCAAAAACGGGAGCAACTGCAAGTTCCTCCACGGCGACGATTTCGAAGGTTCCGTGAACTTCGTCGGTTCGCCGAGTAATTTTGACGCCGAGGAGATGATGAGGCTCAAAGTCGCTCACCAGCAGAGGTTAGCCGCTGCTTCGCAGTTTTTACCTGGAATTTCCCCAACATCACATGGCAAGTACATGGCTTTGCTTATGCAGCAGCACAGTGAAACCCAGAGGTAGATTCAAATGCCTTTCTTTTTTCGCATCTTGAGTTTTGCTCGTCTTTTTACTGTCAAAGGCTGTGCCTTGGATCGTTTTTCCTACGGTGAAAACGCCGGGTTCTAGTTTTCGATTCGCGGCTGTGTATGATTTTTCTTGCATTTTAGGATGGGGATACCGGGGGTGGCGATGGGAGATGAATTTTATAAGTACGGGCGATACCAAGTGGAGAGGAACGAGTATTTGGCTATGGGGTTGGCGGAGAAGGCGAACTCGGCTTCGAGACAAATTTATCTAACATTCCCTGCAGACAGCACTTTTAAGGACGAAGATGTTTCTGATTATTTTAGGTAATGCAGCTTGAGATTCTATGGGAAATATGATTTTCCTACTTGTCTGTTGCTATTTTTTCATTGAACTAGTGCGATTGAATCTTTTAATTATGCTAAAATATCTCACCAGGGTTGCAATCTGCAGTGAACTGAGCATGAAATTTCTGGCTCATTTTTCTCAAACTGTTTCTTTTTTTTTTTGTTTTATGTTTTATTTTGGCAGAGCATGCTAGTTTCTTTCATATTGGGCTTATCGCTTTCGTTATACTACTTGATCGAGCGATCCTCTTCTGTTCTAGGACTTGAATGAGCAAAGCCGTTATTTGTACAGAATTTTTTTTTTTTGGTCGGAGTATGGATTTGATGTGTTCTGTACTTAAGTAGTGCTGATTGATGATGCTCTTTACATTTACGTCTAGGATGAGTCTGTTCTTGTATATTGATTATTTGTTCGAATGAACTAAATGATTGATCCTATTATTTCTACTGGTATTTTGGCCAATGATCCCTTTCTAGCAGTGTTGTGCAGCGCTGGCTTTCCATTCTATTTAGACTGCATCTCTGATGTCAGCAGGAAAACGCTCCTGCTTTTACTTTTTTTTCTTTTGTGACGTGAAAATTATGATGTTATTTCCATACGGATCTCATTTCATACTATGAAGTTGCAAATGCATCACCTCAATAGAAAAATATGTCAATTTGTAGATCCCTATATAAATGTCAGCAGTGTTCTGCTTGTTTTGGTCTTATACTTAACTAGGTCACTACCTTTTGACTGCAATAGCAATCTATCTTCCTTTTTATGGTTTGTTAAAAGAAGTCTGATAAGGCTGTTCCATCAAATTTCGTTGCATTTAAGCCCTTACAGCAGAATTTTTTTTTGTGGATTAAGTAAGCTATAGGATTTTTTTAGCAGTTGGATGTTGAGTAAATGGATGTTTGAGTTTTAGAAAATTGAATGCAGATTGAGTACTTGAAGTACATGGTCTCGCTTTTTGTGCTGCTAAGACCAGGGTTTTAAAGAGCGGCACTGCAGTGGGGACTTTTTGCCTCTTGGGAAGATGTTGGGTTTTCTGCTCTTTTCACGGTCATTTCAACATTCCGCGTTTGCTTGATTGTATTTGACCGAATGTAGCCATATGCATGGCGAGCAAAATGCTGTGATAATCTCAGAGAAGGTTTCCATCTGTATGCCATAGAGTTTTTGTCTGTTCTCTTGTATGTGATATTTTATGATCTTTCTAATCAAAGTAATTTGGAGGAAAGATTTGTATCCAGTTGCTGATAGGAAATAAAATGGTCGTGGCTTGGTGTTGATCAAGTCTTATAGTAATTTGAGCTTTCCTAAGAAAGTGCTGCTAAAGTTAAATTACTGCTTTTCTACACTTGCTCTCTTCTCTGGTCACATTTGAATCTCCATGCATTAATGGTGTTATTTCTGATTCTTCTGGAAGCAATTACGGACCAGTTCAAGATGTCAGGATTCCTTATCAACAGAAGCGAATGTTTGGATTTGTGACATTCGTCTACCCAGAGACTGTAAAGCTCATACTGACGAAGGGGAACCCTCATTTCATATGTAATTCACGTGTACTGGTCAAGCCCTACAAGGAGAAGGGAAAAATTCCAGAAAAGTATGGGTTCTATTTCCTTTTTTTTTTTTTTTTTTTTTTTTGTGGCTGCATAACCAGTCTTTTGTAGTTTAATTCTGTGTTGATGCTCAATCTGTTAATATCAGGAGGCAACAACATCAACAACAGCTATTCGAGAGAGGGGAGTTCTCGCCTTGTTCAAGTCATTCGCTGCTTGACTCAGGAGAGTCATATGACCATCTTGGTGAGAGAACAAGTGCACATTTCAGAGTAAATTCGTCTGAAATGATGTCCTTTACTCTTTACTTTTATCATTTGGCCTTTTTTCTCAGTAAAACTTTTGACTAATTTAATTTTATTGGATTCTATGCCTGTTTACATTGCCTTACTCCAGCAAGGTCAAGAGTATTCCATAATCCACAAGAGATGGTGATTAGGCGGAAACTAGAAGAGCAGGCTAATTTGCAGCAAGCAATTGAACTTCAAAGTAGAAGGTTAATGAATCTGCAACTCCCAGACTTGAAAGATGATGGAATATACCATCACCTGCGTAGCTTTTCTGTTGGCTCTCCTGTTTCTCCGCCTATTCATCCTCATACTCAGATTAACCATAAAGTCGTTATGCCATCTGATGCCACTAACCATGTAAATGCTGAAGGTTAGGTCATGATAAACATTTTTTCTGGTAATGACTAAAATTCAATTGAGCAGCTGAGATCCCTTTTTTGGCTCATCTGCCTATTGTCATTGCAGACTGCCGGAACAGCCCAGCTGCCACCATCTCTGTGATTGCTGCAACTGGTGAGCAGCAGCTACATCATTATGACGTCAATGCTGCGTGCGCTCAGGATGTTGGCAGTGGTGAAGGCAAAAGTGAGAGCTCCAAACTCACACGCGGTGATAGTCAGGGAAGGTGTGGATCTAGATTTGAAGAAAATTGATCATGACTAAATATTCTAGGATTTTAACATTGCATTTTGCCTAAGTGGGATATGTTGGACCTCATGGAGCCCCACCATAGTTAGAACTTGGAGTAAAACGCAATGCCGTCCTTTATTTTTGGGGACAAGACAAAAAAAGCCTCGTTCAGAAAACGAGACAATATTATGTTCAACTGTTTTGAGTGTTTGCATAGATTTTTGTATTAAGTCCAGATAGATGCGTTATCTCATTATTTGAAAACAAAATAGTTAGAATGACGTTTTTGTTAAAACTTTTGGCAGTTCATACGAAGTGTTTAAGAAGTTGGAGTAGGCTTTCTAAAATCTGGATAAACCACTAGGAAATAAAGTGTGCCTTCTTGTACTTGTAATGCTTGCCAGAGTCTTGTGGCTTCAGGGTTCCTATACTATTGCATCATGGGGAAAGTGTTGACTCTCAAGATTCAAGATTCTTTTTTATTTATCTTCTTGTGTGATCGCAGCTTAGAGAATATACTTCCCGACTCGCCCTTTGCTTCACCGACAAAATTTTCCAGTGCTCATCTTTCGGACTTCTCTAAATTGGCTGATGCAACTGATTTTACTGAGAGCTCTGGGATCCCTGACAATAATGTTTCACTGACCTTGAGTTCTTCTGGTGACGGGTCTTCTCACTAAATGATTGGCCTAGCTAAGGTGTTGTCTCCTTCACAATTTAAGTGGCCTCCCTTATAATCTCTCCTTCCCTCTCTTCTATATAAATTGTCATCTATTGAAGCTAAATGTATGGCGTAATACTGTGATTCCAGGTTTTTTATTTCCCTTTCCCTAAGCATTTGATCCATTAACATGTAAATAATGAAGATGGCCGTGGTCGGCAGGATTTGTTGTCTAGAGGTAAGAGACACTATCTCTTCCATTCTTCTTTTTGGTTTAGATCTAAAATTTGCAAACCTTATCTACTGCTGCTTTCTTATGCTATACCTTTTGCATGTAATGCAGAGTAGAAGCAAATAGGAGGGAGACATATCTGCTAGATTTATAGCCCAAGCTTACCTGCACCTTAGATTAGATCCTCTGGAGATGATTTTGGTGAGACTCGGCGCCGTTATCATCAATACATACCGCTAACAGCACAATACATACTACTACTACATCTACGATACCTTAAGGGGACAGGTGATTCGATAGTAATGTGTAGGTTCTCCCTATTTTCTTCTATGTAACCTCTGTGCAGGTGGGTGCAGGACCACACAGAACAGACAACTTCATAGAACAGGCAGACAGTTGTAACTTTGGATTACCTTTAATTTATACATAGCTTCTGTTTCAAAAATTTTCTTTTGTTGTACGTCGGTTTTATGCTAGTCTTGAAGATTAGTAGATAAAATGCTAAAACAGTCGACGGCAAATTCTTTAAAAAGCACACGGGCACTGAGCCAGAGCGGGGAGGGCTCGATTTAGAAGGGTAGAAGTATATCAAAAAAATTGGTTTTGTTCATCACTGATCTCATCTTTCTTTCTCATGTTTTTATGTTAAACATTGAACATTGGAAGAACAAAGGGTATAGGTGTGAATATACCAGTTGTTTTCATGTCTCTGCTAGGTCTGCTTTTAGTGTGGGGTTTCTCTCTTTAGTTTCGCTCCATTTCATGATTTCATATGATTCATAGGCCCACATACTGGGAAAGTGCTGACTGGTCACATGGGTGGCTGACATTTTGCAAATGGCATCAAAAGGAGTTTTGACCCCTTTCACTTTCAGTTAGATGAATGATTTTTTGTTCTCTCTTTTTTGGGTTTTTTCGTTCTTGCTGGTGGGACTGCATTGCAGTTTCTTCTTGGTTTCCGTGTTGCCCTTCCTTTGAATGAAAGCTCGGAAGTCATGGAACTGCTCAGTGAGGTCTTCTTCGTCCTTATTGTTTGATCGATTGTGGACATCAAGTTTATTATGATCAATCAAGGATTTACAGTTTCAAGGAAGCCCTTCTCGAGTCTTGAGCTAGCCATCGATGGAATTCAAGTATCGTAAATCCGACGTGGCTCCCACGCGGAAAAATTGGTCCTTTGACGTCCGAATTCCATCGATGGTGAGATAGAGACCCGATTGGGTTTCTTGTAAAAAACTTCAAGTGTTTCAATCGACCAATTGCCGAAATCTTTTTGAGTGAATGTGCAAAGACAAGGAACAAGCGAGTTAGTGAACATCATGGCTCTCTTCACACTTGTTGACTGACAGATAGATACCTGGAGGAGGAGGAGGAGGTAGCTCTGTATTCTATTTTATTTTCTATTTTTTTCAAATTTTAATTTCCATTACGTTCTAGCCCACCCTACTACCCTTTCCCTTTCTTGAAGTGAGAGCACTTGAAAATGAAAGTGATGGGGGTTCACGACTTTCGGTTCATATCTGCTTGTCTCTCCCCCGTACTCCACAGACATATATATAATTTTGATTGTCATTGTGTAGGGCTAAGTGGATGATTCTCTTTGACAACAACACTCGCTTTCGCTTTTTTGGCCTTCAGCCTTTGGGGCCTTTTTAGAGAAAGTGGAGTTCTTTAGGATCTTCATTGGACATAATAAGCTTTTTCTTGCACCATCATATATCTATTCTGTCCAAGTTGGGCTCTTTTCTTTTCTCCTCCTTTTTTCTTTTTTGGTCACCGGCAGCATCTTCTCCAATTGGAAAAATCACGAGGGTGTGTACGAAATGGCTATACTTGGGGGGGAATTTTTATTTTTTTATTTTTCGTGGAGATATGAAGTCCCCGATCTCTTGAAACGACGGCGGAGGACTGCGAATTTCAAAGTTTTGGAGGATGAGAGACCGACCGAAATCTTTTATTAATACGCGAGTGCATAGACTGCGTGACTGAATGTAATAATTATTGACGGTTCATGCTTTTGATGACTTGGATGTGCTTGAGCTCCGTCGCTTTCGCGTTTTTGATGACTCGGATGTGCTCGAGCTATGTTGCTTTCACTCGAAAACTTACAATTATGCTTACGGAATGACTTGAACTCATGCAAATTGGGAGCTTTATCTTTCTCCGCCCATTGTCATATGAAAAGGTGGGCTTCTTTCTTAGCTGGGAAATCTTAGTGTAGTGCAAACTGATATAATAATTGTAAAAAACTCCGTGCCTTTTTATTTTATCTTATTCACTTTCGCGAGACATGCGCAAATTGACAAAGTGCCAAATTGCAATGCTCATGTTGTAGTGGACAAGATACGTCGGATGGTGACCGCAAGTTCCAATTAGATAGCTCCACGAAGGGAAAAAAAATGACAGATGATCGACTAATCAAAACATTTTTCTTCATGCTTAAATTTTTCTTTTTTTTCCTTGATGGACTTCAATCTGAGTTACTTACTCTTGAATATTCAGTAAATTACTAACTACAACAAAGAGAAATTTGGGGAAATTCTTTGTCTAATTTCGTGTTTTCCCCGGAATAGTCAACAGCACCAGATGCAGATGCTTATCAAACTTGTTGAGATCTCTTTGGGGACGCACAGCATCAGACCAATGATTGCAAACTTACAAAGGGTCATGGAGTTTTTTTTAGACCAAATTGTCGTTTTGAGGTTGATGAGTCGATGACTGATTGGCCTACTCTTGGAAAGCTGCTTCCTTTTAAGGAGGACACAATCGGGCATGGGCCAAATCGTTAAATTGGACAAAAAGTAACGGTCCAAGTAAAATCCAAGACATGGGCTTAAAGATCCATCCAAAATGGATGATGTGATGCCCTTTTAGGCCTTCAATCAATCTCCTTTCCTTCTTTGTTTTGCATGGATATCTCTCTGTTTGGTGAAAACAAGAAACAGCAACAAGTGTCTGTTTTCTTCTGATTCCAGACGGGCGAAGTAAGGACATGGGGAAGATGGAAAAAAGACTTCACATCTATGGTAAACCAGAATCTACGGAGGAGATTTTCTTTCCATCTGAGGAAGATGCTCTTGCTCATCCATGTCTCTTCTCAGATTTGGTGGTTGGTTCATCACTTCACATTTCAGTGACAAATAGCTTTTTGGATTATATATAAAGTCCTGTTCATGATCTATTTGGCACAGCCACACCCCGTGAAGAATTGGGGACACCAAAAGAGAGCAGGTGAAAGAATTTTGGGCTAGATAAAACTCACTATGATGTACATGCATGGTTTGATAAAATTCTTGATGTTTCATAAGCTCGATGGCTCTTTTGTCCCCCCCCTTTTTTTGGTCGGACTTTTGTCCCCTTAAAAAGATGCCTTTCTTTGTTTTGTTAACATGCAGAAACTTGCTGGTGGGATGGAGGATGGAAGTGGGAGTTCACATGCTTTGCCAGGTGACTAAGTTGGCAAATATGTCTTTCTTTTGCTAGTTTTAGCACAATGACGTTGTTCAGGATGATGGGTTGGATTTGGCTTGATGGTTAAACTCACAATGCGATTGAAAAAACAATTGAAATTTTGCAGGGGGGAAGGAGACAGAGCTACAGAAGTTGCAGAGACAGCATGGAGAGAAAATGGTGAGGATTCAAGAGCTGAAGAGGGAAATCGAGGCGGTGAAGCTTCGTCTGGAGCAGAGGAAGAGCGAAGTCCCGAATGAGAAGGTTGAAGCCCTCAAGGCCTTGAGTGACAATTATGAGAAGCTGAGGGAAGAATACACCACCCTCGTTGCTGAAAGAAAAAGCAGTGAGAAACTGAACTAAATTCCCAGATTTGTTCCTGTTTCTAAGTCTATATAGTCTGCAGAATCCATCATTTTTCAGTCTCTTGCAAAGCTCTTGTAGTTCATACCTGGATCAATATCCAGGAGCTGGTTCTGTTTTTCTCCAATATAATGCTAATCTAGATTCAGTCATGTATAATGAAATTTGAAGTTCATACGTGGGCATGGGATAAGAAATGGTATTTATCGTTCTTCGTCTTGAAAAGTATATGAAAGTATATGAAATCACGTGATTAGGACCTGATATAGAGGTGGTATTTTAAAAATCGAAACTTTACGTGTTCTTCTTATCCATCTACTACCTAAAAGGCAAATACATATTTCGTAGATCTGATCGTGGGCTTGACTGCCCGAAAGCTCATCAAAGCCCTGCCCGAGCCAAAAGGTCCCGAAGATGTCTTTAGGCGGGCATGGCCAAAAATTTAGGGCCGATCTTATGGCCCGACTAGACTCGGGCCAACCCGATAATCACCCCTAATCCTTAATTATTTAAAATGATTGTCATGGCAAAATGCTCATGTTGTAGAAAGAACTGTCATGCTTATTTAGCACTGCTCCTGCTAATCGTCTAGTTTAATGAGCAAAGATGAAAATTGACAATTTCAAAAGATGGACGAAATGTCTCCAATCTAACAAAAGAAACTCTCTCCTCCTTAGTATTTTGAATTCTTTGAGACCCTCTTTCTCTAAATACATGGCAAAATCTTCTCTCTTTTTTTTTTGTTTCTTTTTTTGCACACACGTGATTAACTGTGAATACTATAGCTACATGTACGAATTGGATGTGGTAATATGGTTTTTTCTTTTCTAATTTGTAAACGAAATTTACATATCGCCGAAAATACACTTTTAAAAGATTGATAAAGAAAAAGTCAAACACCGGAGTATCATATCTGAGTTCAAAACCGTATATTTTTACTAAATGAATAATGTGCAATTTTTCCGCCTCTTTATAAAATAAACTAAATCTGGTGGTGAATTTCAATTTCATTTTCGAACATCTCTCCAAAGATTTCAAGAAAATCCATGCACGATACGAAACAGTAACGTAAAAATGCCTTTATTATAAAGCTACGAAAACAATTAAAAATTCTTTAAAATTCTTGACATAATTATCATATAATTCGATAAATTTCTCTACGTACCAAAATGAGATGAAAAAGTCAATTATCCTTTTTCTTTTTCCCCCCACCTTGTTTCATTACATGTTTTGAGCTGTTCTCGAAGCTGACTTTGGCCCAATTTTTTTTATCAAATGAGATTTATTCATTTCTCCTTCATGCTCGAATCATCCGGGCATTATTGTTCCAACAATGATTTGAAATCGAGTTGAGTTTTCGACGGGAAACCGACAAAAGAGATTATGACTACACGTTGGGCCATTCTTGTCTTGCAATGACCAAAACTTGCTATTTGGCTCACTGAATAATTCATACATGACCTTAACCCCAAGCTGCACGCATCCCCCCAATAATTTCCCTTTTGTGTTATTTTATTTTGAACCAGACTGTATCTCAAAACTCGACCAGATGAAAAGTATGCTCGCCCAAAAATAATTTGGCTCGATCGTGAATCATAATGTCAAAGTGATAATTTAAAAGAGTTTGCATAGCTATTCGTTTTATCGATAAATTAGATCTTTTTCCGTCGTACGATAATTATAATTCATTTTCTAAAATAGTTCTTTTGGCCAACCCATTTCCTAAATCAAGTTAAATCTCACTTCGAGTGCTTTTTTTCGCCTGTATATAAAAATAAAATTTAAAAAAAAAATCTCACGAAAAGGAATATCGCAAATCGGGAATATATAAAACGAAAGAAAATAAAAAAAAATTCTCTCTCTCTCTCGGTATAATTTGGCTCTGTCGTGAATCATAATCCTTTAAAGCGATAATTTAAAAAGGGTTTGCATAGCTAATTATTTTCTCGTACAATCTCATGATAAATTAGATATTTTCCCGAAGTACAATAATTAGAATTCGTTTTCTAAAATAGTTCTTTTGGCCAGCCCATTTCCTAAATTAAGCCAAATCTCACTTCAAGTATTTTTCTTTTTGCCTGTATAGACCAAAAAAAATTAAAAAAAAAAGGAATATCGCAAATTGGTAATATATAAAACAAAGAAAATAAAAATAAACATTGAAAACAAAAAAATAATAATTATTTCTCTTTCTTTCTCCCTCATTCATCAACCGAACCGAAAACGAAGAAAAAGAAACGCCATCATCTCCGCCTCGCTCGCTCGCTCGCTCGTTCGCTCGCTCATCATCATCCCTTTCTCTCTCGCCGATCCGCCTCCCTCTCGCCCCTTCCCCCTCGCCATTGGATCGCCTCCTCCGCCGCCCCCCGCCGCCGCCCCACGCCGCGACCACCCTCGCCGATGGCCCCGACCGCGACGCCGCGTCGCCGGCGTGGCTGACTCGCCGGCGGAGCCCCGACGCCCTCCGGAGGATCCCTAGGGCTAGCGGTTCGGTTCCCTGCGACTTTCCTCTTTTTTTCGGGCCTGTAGATATCGAAAACGAACATGAACTCGTCGAAGCTGGAGGACGGCGGCGGTTCTGGATATCCGAGCTCGGCCGACATCGGCTCCAATTTCTACTTCAGCGCGCCTTCGGCTTCAGGATCGGGGTTGGTCTTCGCCAAGGCGAGAATCTCCAAGAGGAGAAGTATTAATCGCCTGAACTTGAACCAGGAGAGCAGAGCTGATCCCGGAGCGAATCCGTTCCTGTTCAATCCGCGTGATTCCGTGCCTGGCTCGTTTCCGAATGCGGCCAATGATCCTCCGGCGAGTGAGTATGTGTTTAGCGCGAATAGGAGTGATTCGGGCGGGGGCTTGGGGACAGGAGTTGTCGTGGAAATGGAGAACTTGAGAATGGGGAGTGGGAATGCGTCTGTGACTGCTCGAGATGGTGTTTCTGATGCGAATTCAAGCTCGAGGTTTGAATCAAAGAGTGGCAACAATAAGAGCTCTAGCTTTGATGAATCAGTAGCTTCTGCATTGCCAGAAGAAATGAGGAAGCTGAATGTCCAAGTTTCAGATGACAAGCCTTCCGGGCGACCCGGGAGTTTTGAGTCTAATTTAAGTACGAACGAACAGGTTAAGGTTGGTGTAGGGGTCGATGCAGGCACGTATGGTTTTGATGGGAAAAATGTGGAAGCCGAGCTCCTGGATCAGTTGAAGAAGAAACTGAATATCAGAGAAGCTAATCGACCGGACAGCAATGGGGTTGTTGACAAAGCTGATAAGTTAAATGAATCTACTCGTGGAAGTAGGAAGGAATATGATGGTGTGTGTGCTGGAAATTCAGCAGCTGCTCTCCCTGATCAGATGATGAATCTCAACTTAAGGGATCCTGCAGCCATGGATAACAGTACTGGAGAGAATGATTACGAATTAAATACCAAGAAAACCGATTTTGTATTTGGAGGGAGCACAAGTGCCAGTGGTCGTACCCGTGGGATGACAGAAACTGTACTAGTGAATGAGATCGATGAGAAACTGAATATTGGTAGCAAAATGAACGATTCTACTGCTGAGCCAGTTTCTAGAGAATTCAGCTTTCATTCTGGAATGGAAGCCAAGCATGCATTTGGCAGTCAAGTTCCTTTGAACCGACCTAGCAATGATATAGGAGTAAGTGGCACTGCTACATCATCGTATGAATTCCCATCCAGTAGCATGCCTATAAAAGGAGGGAAGAATGTTTCTAATAGAGATGAGAGAAACATTAATGTTTCTTCTGAGAGCAAACAGGATGATACTGGCCCATCATTTATGGAATTTAAGACGCCTATTGAAAAAGTGGACCTGGCTTCTGGCTTCACTGAAAAAATTGAGTTTACTGCAAAGAGAGAGGCATTTGATAGCTCAAAAATGAAGAAGAAAAAGGGAAAAATGAGGCAGTCCGCCCATGTCCAGCCCCGGCTTATGCAATCTTTTATGTCAATGGAAAGCATATCTCTAGAAAAGCCGGAGGCCTCTGAGCCTTTTTCACCGATGGATGTATCTCCATATCAAGAAACATTAGCAGAAAATCCATGGTCAAGAGATACTTCAGTTACGTCAAATGAGTCTTACAGTCTGGACAATGCTGATGCCTCGGATGCTCCTCACTCCACTTTTTTTAACAACGCTATAGACGAAAGCCTCCTTTTTGCAACACAGCATATGGATATAAATGATTATGAGCTAAGCAGAGAAGCAACAGAGGATGCTCCTAAGCATGGGTTGGACAAAAGTGTCAACATTGAAGGCCCAGTTGAGGAGTCTGCATCTGGGGCTGAAACTGAAAGCTTTAAATCTGCTGCTGATGATATAGAATTGGTCAGGGATGATGATGCTGTTACTTCATCTGATAGAACTGGAGCCTGTCGCAGTTCGAAGATCGAGAGAAGTGATGATGAAAGGAGGAAAGAACATGGTTTAGCTTCACATGTACAAGAAATGGGGGACTCTAACTTTACTTTTACTACCTCCTCAGCTTCTCATGGACAATTTTCAGTGCCCAAACATAAACATAAAAAGAAATCTTTGGTGAAACCTGTTCACGGTTCCCATAATTTGAGTTCAACTCTCGAAATTCCTTATGCTTCATCCCCCTTTCAGCCTTTTCCATCTTCAGCCATCTCTTCACCTCTTTCCCCTCAGCCAGAGAAAGTTAATCTGATTTCTTCTCAATACAAAGTTGGAAAAGATTATGAGATGGATAAAGGGCTGGATGGCAAGCTTGTATCAACATCTACTTCTGCCCCAACCATCACGCAGGAAGCATGTGAGAAATGGCGTTTGAGGTCAATACACTTATTCATCACCTAATGTTCATACTTCATATACTGCGAGCTAGATTTTAGTTTGTTTGTGTAATTCCATCTCTTTTACTAAGTTTTCTATTTAATTTGATGAATGTTAGGGGAAATCAAGCTTATGCAAGTGGGGATGCGGGTAAGGCTGAGGATTATTACACACATGGAATAAATTGCGTTTCAAGAGATGAGATGTCAAGAAGCTGCTTAAGGGCTCTCATGTTGTGCCACAGCAACCGTGCAGCTACCCGTATGGCTTTTGGCAGGATGAGAGATGCAACAGGAGATTGCTTGAGGGCCATTGAAATCGACCCTAACTTCTTCAGGGTGCAAGTTAGAGCTGCAAAGTAAGACTTGTTTTTTATCATCATACAGTGAAAAAAATTGTAATTTTGGAGGATATAGCCGGCATTCTTATTCTTGGTTGTAGCTGGTTGGGTCCTAAAGTTAACAAAAGTCTTTAAGCTCTTCTGCTAGAACACCATACTTGGCGCAACATGTGTACGTTTAAGGATTTTCATCCCGCATTTTATCTTCAATTACAGTTTGTGTACTTATCACAAGATTCTAGGTTTTGGACACATTCTTAACTGCTGAGGTGAGCTTCATAGTGCTATCTACCTTTATGCTATGTTATCTTTTCTAGTCCTAAGGAGTTTTAAACCATTCCCTCGATTTAAATGATGAACAGCTATGGCTAACCTTTTCTTAGTATTTACTTGAATGTCATGTTCCCTAATTCATGCATTTTCTCTTTGAAGTTGCTACCTTGCCCTTGGGGAAGTTGATGATGCATTGAGATATTACAAGAAATGCCTGCAAGTAGGAAACGAGGTGTGTGCAGATCGAAAAATTGCTGTAGAAGCTTCTGAAGGCTTGCAAAAGGCACAGGTATGACATTGTAATTTTTTGTCCGATTCAGATTTAAGAAGCCTAATTTCTTATCCAAGTCACCGCAAATCTTATTAAAAGAATAAGGATGGGTGCTTCATTTTGTACTGATGCAGTAATTGTTTTTGCAAGACTTTCCAATTATATATGCATGGAAATGTATATGTACTCTGAATTTGATCTCCAATATATTATTAATGTTGTCTGGCAGGTGACTCTGTTACTGACTCCTAATGTGATAGTCTAGAGAGTAGTCCTTATTAGGATCACTTTTGAAGATTATTGTATCAGTGGCATGACGACTTTGTTACTGACTCATAATAGTCTAGAGTAGTCATTATTTGGAGCAATTTTAACAGCATTTTGGATTATGATAGCCGAGAAAGACTCTCTTGAGCATGGCCCGCTCCTGGCCCCGATCACGGTTGATTTGGGCCCATTTGAGGCCCTGCCTGTAATAGACTTTGGGCTTTGGGCTCTGTGCTTTCATGTTTCCTATACTCATATTTCTGTTGTCAGTTGTCTATGATTGGCGGTGCTCAGTATTCTCCTTTATCTTCGGTCAACATTCAAAACCTGCAGTTTGATGCCGAATATTCCTCTTTTGTTTGATTAGTCTGTTTTTTGGTGGCAGAAAGTTTCTGAATGCATGAACCATGCAGCCGTGCTCTTACTAACAAGAACATCCAGGGATGTTGAAGCTGCTGTTGAAGTTATTGCAGAGGCTTTGCTTATAAGCTCATATTCAGAAAAACTACTTGAAATGAAGGCCGAAGCACTTTTTATGGTCTGAACCAGCTACTTTGATTTTCTAAATTAATGTAGTGCAAAAAATGGCAATTACATTTTATTTCCTGTGGGTGTGTTTTCTGCATGTGGCAGTTGCGGAGATATGAGGAAGTGATTCAATTGTGTGAGCAGACCCTTGATTCAGCTGAAAAGAATTCTTTAGATATAAATGACCAGCTTGCTGATCTGGATGGTCTTGAGTATTCAAATAGGTTATATTTCAGAATTTGGCGATGCCGCCTCATGTTCAAGTCATACTTCCAATTAGGAAGGCTTGATGAGGGCCTTGCCTCACTGGAGAGGCAAGAAGAATTGGTATCAGCTATGAATAGGTATAGATTGGGTGATGCAGATTCCTCCCTTACCTTAATTTCTCTTCCTTTTGGCTTGAAATTGTAAATGGACAGCAGTTTTGAGCTTAGAAGTTTGATCTTTTAATGCAGGAATCAAAACTCCAGTTTGGCGTCGGTAATTCCCCAGGTTGGGACTGCACGTGAACTTCTACGTCTCAAGGTACCCCAATCTCGTACCTGGTCCATTTATGTGCTACTAAATGTACATCTTGACATAATATCTAACATCGGTTGGACTAAAGGTATCGAGTTATGAAGCACAAACTCAACTTGTTACCCTGTTAGGGAGGGAGGGAGGGAGGGAGGGAGATTTCATTGGGTTGTCCTAAAATGATTTGCAAACAGATCCTATCCTTCATGATTATCCTGGTTGCCCTATTTCCAGAGATAGAATTGAAGTCTTAGATTTGTTCAACAAAAAGGTGGCTTAACGAGAGATTGCATTGGGTTGTCCTAAAGAGGGAGGGGAGAGGGAGGAGGGAGAGAGATTGCATTGGGTGTCCTAAAACGATTTGCTAAACAGATCCTATCTTTCATGATTATCCTAGTTCCCCTATTTCCAGAGATAGAATCAAAGTCTTAGATATGTTCAACAAAAAGGCAGCTTAAGTAATGAACGAAAATAGAACTAGATGCATACTTAAAAGAAAATGCTTTGACTTTCGTATGATGTAAGACTTGAGAAATATCTTGGTTCAACTAAAAAGCAGCTTAACTAATGAAAGAAAATAGAATTAGATGCATTCTGAAGAGAGAATGCTTTGACTTACAAATCATGTAACACTTGAGAAATTTCTTGGAATGAAACCATGCCAAGGCACTGCGTGCGCGCAATTATATGGTTGTCTTTACATATTTGGCATGCTTCGAGATTTTTTAGTTTCAAGAACGCCGAAGATGATTTTGTTCAGCAAAATGTTTGCCAAAGCATTATCTTAATAAAGATCCCTTTTTTTTTCAAAAATTTGACAGAACTCACGTGGTAAAATTTTGATTAGACTTTTACTGCTACGACAAAACTGTTATTTATTTTAGTTAACGAAAATAATAATAAACTCAAAATCTTCTGACACCTATATGTTAATGAAAGCCACTAGAACATGTTTTCTTTTTCTTTCTAGGGAAAAAGTTTTGACAATAAAGTTCAACACTACTGTCAGCAACCACTTAGAAGCACTTAATGGAAGATCTTTTAGGAGTATCTGGTAGGGATTGTTAATATACGACTGGTAGTTTACAACCTTTCAAATTCTCTTTTGCATCATCTAAAAAGTGGAGGTCCATATTTCTAAAGTGTAAATTGAGGGACATTGTTTGACTCATGGATGGTTGTCTATAATTAGTTAATTTTCTTGAATCAACTGAAACTTTGCATTGCTTTATGGTCGGAAGACATTGCTTGTGTAGTCTTTGGATAATGGATTGTTATGTGGTTTTTGTGTTCATAGGCAGCAGGTAACGAGGCATTTCAAGCTGGAAAGCATGCAGAAGCAGTTGAACATTACACTGCTGCCATGTCATGCAATGTGGAGTCACGTCCTTTTGCAGCTATTTGTTTTTGCAATCGTGCTGCCACATACAAAGCTTTGGGCCAAATTACCGATGCTATTGCTGATTGCAGCCTTGCCATAGCCCTCGATGGAAACTATCTGAAGGTTTACTACGCGATCTCTCTCTCTCTCTCTCTCTCTCTCTCACTCTCCATATGTTTGTGTGAGAGTGCACCCATATATGCGTGCAATTCATGTTCCATGCTACTGTCCAATCTGCCAGTGAAGACTAGCTAATTATAAACCGTTCTTGATGCACAAATCATTTTGCTTCCATGAAAATTCCGATAATGAGGTACTTCAAATTTGATTGTTTCTGTTTTCTTTTTCTTTTTTACATTTTCTACCTTTGAATACAGGCAATATCTAGGCGAGCCACTTTATTTGAAATGATAAGAGATTATGGACAAGCAGCGGCAGACCTCCAGAGACTTGTTTCTATTCTCACAAAGCAAGTAGAGGAGAAGACGAATCAAGCTGGAGTTTATGATAGATCTCTCAGTTCTGTGAATGAACTAAAACAAACGAGCCTACGGCTTAGTGAAGTGGAAGAAGCAGCGAAAAAGGATATTCCCTTGGATATATACCTAATTCTGTAAGTTTTTGTTTTCTCATCGGGCTATACATGTTTGTACTGTTTGATGATTGATCTTGCCTATGCCTCGTGCTACTGCAAGCTACGTGCTCTATTTTATTTGGCTCGTCTAGCAAAACCTGGAATTTTGGTACTTGAGCTGTTAAGATGGAGAATTGCCTCCTTTCTCTTACAGCTTTTATTTTATGTTCTGGGATGGTACATTTCCTTCTTGGAATAGAAAGTTTGTGCGTGAACTTTCCGTGTTGTCTCCATAAGGAATCATTTCTTCCTCGTCCACTTTCTTTAGTTGGTCTTCCTCTTATCTTTGCCTAAGCAAATTGCCAATGTCTTTATCTCCTTTTCTTATTTGAGGGAATATCATGCAATGTAATCCAGGTTCCTCGAGTGAAGTTATTTAATGCATTGCTTATCCTACTTTTATTGGTCTTTTGGAAAGTATATTAGTTGTCAGAATATATAATCATTAAACCATTTCTTCATCTAATAGTTGGTCTTGCCAAATTTTGCATGGTATCAAAACAGGAAATCCTGAGTTCAAATATTTTTAGGCTCTTTATTTTCCTCCCAATTTGTATATTTCCATCCTTTAGTATTAGGCCAAATCTCATCCTACACTTGAGGGGAAGTGTCGGAATATTTAAATAGTAAACCACACCTTCATTTTACAGCTTAGACTTTTAGAGCAGTGGAATTAAAAGCCTCATGTTTGATTTACTATCTTACTTCCTAAGAATCTTGATAGTAGTATGTGTAATCCTCGTGCTCAAAACCAACTGTTGTAGGTACTAATTTTCAAGAGACTCATCCCATCCTTAATGAATCCTATTAATTTTGTGACTCAAGTTTAGAATTCACATTGAAGAATTTATTGCCATTATCTTTTTGAGTGACTCACTTGAAAATCTTCACGGCAGAGGAGTAGAACCATTAGCGTCACTACCAGATATAAGGAAGGCGTATCGTAAAGCAGCACTTAAACATCACCCTGACAAGGTCTGTAATTTCTTACTTCGATGATTGCTGTGATGTTATCAACTATATATTACCGTTTTTTGCAATTGATGTAGGCTAGTCAATTTTTGGCAAAAGTTGACAATGGAGATGATAAACTTTGGAAGGGAATAGCAGAAGAAGTCCGGAAGGATGCTGACAGACTTTTTAAAATGATTGGAGAAGCACATGCTATACTTTCGGAACCAACCAAGGTATTAAACATCTGTCTTTGTGCTCTGTTTTCATGATCATAGGAAATACTATTTGTTCTTATTTATCTACATCGGTCTTCTTGCTCTGTTTTCATGACCATGGGAAATGCTATTTGTTGTTATCCGTCTATGTTAAAAGCATAGTTGTATATGTACATTAAATCTATAACCTTGCTGGTAGTACTTTTTAATTCCATTTTTGGTTAGTCAGACACAAGCCAGCAGCCTTCTGCCCAAAGCTTTACATAGTGGAGTTTCTTTTTGCTCTGTTATTAATTTAATTTCTGTGACTCAAAGAGTATACAGTACACAATGTGCATTTTCTATTAATACACATGCTAAAGTCTAGAATGTTAGTAATAGAAGAATCGCATTTGGACACAATTTTATGTACATTATAAGTGTTTGCATAACAACTTTGAGAGAGAGACAGGAAACTAGTACCTAGTACTGGATGCTCAAGTTGGTTAACATAGATATTCTGCATAGATTCAGTTGTCAAGAATATAGGTAACATTGTTCACGTTGAGAACACAGGAATAGCACTGAATTTGTCATCACCCTTTCCTTGTCTTGGAACTGATCACATTGTTGTGTCTGTATAGAATTCGCTAGTACAAGCATATCTCTTGTTCCATCACAGAGAACTCTATGGTTAATAATTAAAAAGCTCAGTGTAGCTGTGAGCACTGGTCATTTGCTCCTTATTACTAAATAATTTACTGGTGCTTGTAAATCAAGTTTGTTCGTCAGTGTTTACATCGTTTTCTCCATATGACAGACAGATACGGTTCGTGACATTTGTCAAGCACTTTTCGATGCTCTGATTTGCGCAACTTATCAGATATTTTGCTTTCTTATAACTTGTAATAGGGTTTAGCAGATGCTAGAGCACAGGAATCCTCCAAAGAGGCAACCAATGTCTCAGGCCGCTTAGTTTTAGTACCTTTCTGAGGATCTTCAATCATTAGTCTTCTTTTTGTTAATGTATTTGTTCAGGATAGTTTGAGTCGTAGTAACATTAGATTTTCCACTGAGGAACACTACCAAAATGTGTTTCAAAGAAGGGTTATCTGGATGTAGGTCTGCATTTTCTGTGATCTGCCCAAGTTAAATGGATTTACTATCCCCCTACCTTACTTCACACACTTTATAGTTCATATGGAGAATCCTTCCAGTTGAATGTTACGCCCACATGGGTTGCAATATATGAACGATTAGAACTGACTCTCCTGGGTAAACAGAAGAACACCGTACACAAGTTGCTCCAAACATCTTCAATGAGATGGCTGGTAGGTCCTAATTGTCTGCAGTTTTATCTGTTTTTACTGTGTGTGCTGCTATTTTATATAATATTTGCTGGGAAGCACTCTATTCTAGCACCCTTTTCTTTGCAGTTACAGTGCCAACAGAATCATTTCTCTTCTTGCCTTGTCATGGACGGTGTTCTGTATTTCAACATGGAACTTGTTGATTGTCAGACCCAATAGTACTAACTTTTAGTTTCTGAGTTCGCAGCGTTTACAGTATGATCTTGAAGAAGAGAGGAGGAACATGGAGAAGAAACGCCATGGAGCCAACACAACTAGGACACATAGAGACGACCAAAATCATCCATTCGAAAGAAGCAGCAGCAGGCAGCAAAGGAAGGAAGCTTGGGGAACTTATGGTAGTTCCCAGGCTCGAGCCTCAGAGTCTAATCGCTGGACAAGATACACTTGATCGTCGAGCGCAGTACGAGCGTAGTAGTTCTGGGGTACTCCGAATACAGAGAAGCACGGCCCACACAGTTCTTCACCACCTAAGGATCCTACTACAGCATAGGATGTGCAGAGGTCTAGAGGCGATACAATTTCCTTTACCCTTCTGTAATTGGAGCTCAGTGGAATGCGTGTATATGGTTCTGGGCGGTAGAATACGGGCAGAACAGACCCACCCATTTGAAAATTGCAGTCTAAAAGGAGGAGCTATGGAGATTGCTCTTAGCAGAGGGGGACGCAGTTTAACCGGAAAAAAAGGCAACCAATAAAAGTAGATCCCATTTAGTACGAGATGGAGCTTGGTTTGTACAACGTGATGATAAAGGAGAGGACGTAAGGGAAGAAACATGGGGACTGGAATGAATGTCCGAATACTAACTCCTGACCTTTAACAGTAAATATCTTGACAATCTGTACAGAAGAGGGGGAGTGTTATTTATAGAGGCAAGACATTGACTCGACTCGACAGTTCTTCTTCAGCTCTGGCAAAAAGGTAATGATACTGACGGAAATGGTTCTGCTGATATTCTTTTCCTCTTTACGTATCACAGAAAGTAAGTTTTTCTCATCCCGCAGCGTGGTTCGTTTTGCTTTTGCCTATGCTTTCCAGATACTAGTGCAAGTTTGTCTTTTTTTTTTTTTTTTCAAGAAAAGAAAAGGGTTTGTTTGTTATGCACACAGATGAAAGATGGTTTTGGTGTACAGTCGGTTTTCGAGGCCATCCTTTTTTTTGGGGGGTTGGAAAGTGATTTGATATTTAACAATTTGTATTCATTGATCGATTATTCAAGAGGGAGCTCTATCTTATTGAAACTGATCTCTGCATAAGGTTTGTGGTGGAGGGGAAATCCCTTATTCATTAGTGGGGAACAAGGAGATTGTCGATTTCCAATAGTTAGCGCCTGATTGCCTGTGGGTTAGCTACGTAGCATGCCAATATAAGATTATGTTCATCTGCTTGTTGTGTTTGACCAGCGTACTCAGGTTCTAGGCTTCACATCCGGGCCTCGGTCCTTCGAGGCCAGGCCTGGGACCCCGACGTCTGAATATTGCATATGGGGTTGTTCTCGTAACTTTTTCTCAATCGTGTGCTCCATAGTTTTACCGTGGCATTACAAGATGACTTGGATACTATTTACAAAGTACAGCTAAACATTTAGTTTCCTTGAAAATAATTTGGGATAAGTACATTGAAAATCCTAAAACTTTCAAAAAGTACAATCAAGTCCTAAAACTTGTCAAATTGATATAATCAAGTCTTTCCGTTGATCGCACTATTTGCAAATTTTAAGATTCGATTGCACTTTCATGACAAGATTTAAGACATGATTGCACTTTTTTGAAAGTTTTAGGACTCGATTATATTTTCGTGAAAAGTTTTAAAACTTTCAGTGCACTTATTCCAAATAATTTTCAGCAAATTTTATTTTTTATGAAACAAATTGAGCAATACTAGCACCGTATTCGCTCTTAACTCAAAGGAAGACTCTGGAGAAAGAAATCATTCATTGATTCAAGTGCTATCTTCTCAGCTCTATGTTGAATTGTAAAGTCAACATCGCTTTCCGATTAAGCTGCTAAGCAAAAAAACACGTTTGATAACGACACTAAATCTATGTCCCCAAAACAGAAATTTGTTTGATAACGGCACAAAATTTCTCCCTCTCTGGTGATCGGCGAGTGGACGATGGGCGGATGGCGGGCAGCGAACGGCGGGGGGAGGCGGACAGCGACATGCCCAGTGCGGAGGACGGCGGCTAGAGGTGGCTAGCGTCGGGCAACAGCGGGAGGCGAGCGACGGCCGGCGGCGGGAGGCGAGCGACGGCCGGCGGCGGGAGGGGGGCGGCAGCGGGAGGAGGGCGGACGGTGGCAGCAAATGGCGAGCAACGGATAGTGGGGGTAGGCGGCGGAGGACAGCGACTCGACCAATGTGGAGGACAACGGCTGGAGGCTGCCGGCGTCGCTGGAGGCGGGCGACGACCGGCGGTAGGAGAGGAGCGATGGTGGGAGGAGCGCGGCAGCGGGAGGAGGGCAGCCAGCGCAGGGACACGGTGGCCGACGAGCGGCAACCCACAGTGAGCGACGGCGAGAGGAGGGCGGCCGACAGCTGGAGACAGTGGTCGGCGAGCGACGGCCCACAATGGGTGGCAACGGGCAGTCAACAGCGGGAGACGGTGACCAGCAAACGGCGGCTGGCGACGGGGCGAGAGACGGCGAACGGCGGGAGACAGCAGCTGGCAAGTGGGCGGCTATAAGCAATGGATGGGCAACCGGTTAATAGTGAGGGCGAGCGATGAGAAGAATTTCTCATTTTTGTTTCACAAATAAAAAAGTATAAAATTTTTACTTCTCATTTCTATTCCAAACTTATTCCTCAAATCAAAATTTGTTTCAAAAATTGAAAAATGAAATTGCTTTACCAAACGAATTTATGTTCCAAACTTGTTTCTGGAACAGAAAAATAGAAACAGAATGGTTATCATTCACAGTCTTAATATCTCAAATCCAGTAAGAATAGTATCTCCAATCCAGTAAGAACAAAGGGGGAAAATGATATCTGATGCTCGAACCTGCGGAATCGCATCAATAGCTTGAGTCGTGATTAATAACAAACATGACATTCGGGAAAAAAAAATCTCAATAAGATTGTCGTAGACAAGTTAGTTACCCGAGTCTTGCCAAGAAAACGGGACAGAAGTGGCAACTATAAGGACAATTTTTGCAGCGCTCAAGAGAGCCAACTTGGTATGATTGGCCGAATCTCTCCATCACCAAGAATGTACTCATACATAAATTCCCAATCCAACTTCTTTTGGCACGGTCTCCACCATCCAGGGAGGCCTGTTGATCAAGGACAGGATAAGCAAAAGTTAGCAAAGAGAGACAGACGGCACTGCAAAGTAGCTCGTGGAAACAGATGTTACTTGTTCATCACAAAGTTGGTAGTTCCTTGAGATGCGCGTTTCAGAAGTATCTCCCTGGCCTCCACAGCAATTCCTTCAGGCTGCATGTACCCATATGCATAAGGTTTATAAACAGGAACCCTTGAGATGATTTCTAGTCATCGCGACAATGTTCACACCTCTTCTGGGAACCACACGCCGGGTTGTGAGCTTCCCTCCAGAACAGCGAGAACAAATGCTGCAATAGAATATCCAACTGACCTGAAAAGGAACCAAAGAGAAAAGAAAATCTGTATGAGTTAAAGTTTTCCGCATTCTTCCGGGGGAGATGACATCTTAACAGAACAAAAATCCTATGAAGATCTCTCAGTCAAAAGTGAATATATAAACAAGAGCAGTCAGAAAATGTATGTGGAAGTCTATACAATTGAAAGGGCTGATAACATTAACTCATGTACAGATTTCTTACACTGAGAGTCTCCTGTGACTGAATATAGCAACTGTATGACGCCCATCAGAACACTCCAAATCGACCTACCGAAAGACCGATGGAAACGAATTGAAAATAAAAACTTAGCTATATGCAATATTCAATTGGGATATAGGTGGTTCACATATCACAGGATCCTCTCCATCAAAAAGACGGAATGCAGAGAGATTATATCACATAAGCAGAAATTACTCAGTAAATCTCACCCTCATTGAAACACGCTCTCCTGCTATCCCATCAATTGCACGAACTACGGGATCAAATAGTTGAACCAATTCCTGTACTTTGCTTCTGTCTCTAAGGTATTCCTGTATAGTTTGTTCAAGTATTATGTATCAGTACCAGACTATTCTTCTAGTACTACTGGTATGAGGAGAAGTAATAAGTATTGGTCACTAACAAAAAAAGAATCAAATCATCAACTTCCGAGACTCACCTATAAATGAGCTACAAAACGTGTCTATGACCCATGCCACCCCTACCACTAGCATTTCTTGTCTCATATCCATCACCTTTTATACTCAATCATTGGAATGATTTACACAGATAAGGATCGTACGCAATTCCACCTAAGTAGGATTATCTTACACCGCTAGTCCTAAGTCCACATAAAGAATGAGGGGAGGGGTGTGTCAGTTAATCAACAGCTGGCACTCTTTCTTTCTCTTGTCGAATCCTTAATGAAATGAATCCTGTACAAAATTGCGTGAAAGCAAGGTCTTGAGAATCTAATAGAGGGTCAAGCATAATGGCATAATAGGATGCATATAGTTGACCCATTTAGTGGGACAATGGATGAGGCTTGTTGTCGTCATCGTCGTTGTTATTGTTATAATGATAATATTCGAAGGAAAATCGGAAATTAAAATAGGAAATTAATTGCTATTCCTGTAGGAGGTCATAGTCAATTGTCCAGGCTATCTACGCGGCCATGAAACATTGAAATGGTCTAGGGTTGAAGCTTACAGGAGGTAGAAGATTTGTCATTGCTGACATCCCCCAGTTCCAGAAAAATGGGGCAGTTCCGAACCGAGCACTGACAGTAGGCACTCTGAGGATTTCATGAGCACTTCTCACCTCTGGCAAGTTCCTATAGAAGAGTTTAATCTTGGTGAGATTGCTTCTATAGCATGTAAAACTTATGGCAGCAGTACCAAGTATCCAGTGTTGAATGTAGCCATGCAAGTTGAGTGCAGGGGAGAAATCACACCCGATATCTAAATTGGACCAAGAAATTGACATCTTCCCATTAGAAGGGTTGATCTGCCAATACAAGAGTTTTTCCGGAACTTACAGCAGGAAAACATCCCTCTTTCCAATGCCCTTTCCAAAATCGATGTTTAGACCTCCACTATATGGCTTTAGTTTGATCTCTTCTCCTGGTCAAAGGTAGGAAAAGCCCATTGTCATATTTTTTTTTTTGGTAAGGGCCCATTGTCATATTTGAGCATCACATACATATAGATTCTACATTTCAGATAAAAAAAGTCACTAACCTTTAAGATAGGCAACTACCTCTTCTCCTAGAAGTAAAAAACTAGTTGCTAAAATTGTTGGACCAGCACCACCAGTACCTGCAGTGTAGTAATAGAATCTGACAACAAATCATCGTGTAAGTTTATTACTAGGTTTAATAAAGAGCAAAGAGTCTTCTGTTACCACTTCAAAGAGCAATTTTGTCAATTTAAATGGACATGTGCTGTGACCAAAAAGGAAATATGATTTGTAGAAGAATGCTCTGATGATCTGATTAGCCAGTATCAAATATAGCAACAATAGATAGCAAAAAAGAGACATGACTAACCATCCACAAGGAATACGAGAATGACAGAAAACAGAGAGAGAATGGGACGCCCTAGGTAAGGAGCAAAAGCACATTGATTATTTTAGTGATAGTAAATATACTACGATTCAAGGAGCACCGACATGGTAAAATGGAACTTAGGTATGTGTAAGGTTCTACAGTTTTCAAACTAGAAGATGATATTCAGGACTGAAACAGACAACTAGATCATTGTAAGTGCATATGTTCAGAGGAACCGTTTATGTGTCCAAACAAACTAAAGAACGGTCTTACATGAGACAAAGGAAAACCAGGCTCATGCATATAAAAGGAAGAAATTAAGAGAAGGAGAAATAAAGGGGGAAACAGAAAATATGAGGAAAAGAGAACAAATGGAGAACTCGAGCAATGGCGAATTAGAATGCCAATTCATGTGAGTTAATAAAGTGCCTTCTGTAGGCACTGTAAACTCATTGATAATACTCATGAACAACTAAAGCAGCTACAGTAATGTATGCAACTAAGGTGCTCATTGGCCTAAACTGAGGCACCAGATGGCTCGCAAAGGCATAATACTACGGCATGCTAAAATCTAACATGCAATGCACCTGAAAAATGAAAGATAGAAGATAGTACTATTATGAAATAATATTTCTTTCCTCAGCAGTTTAACAAAATCTCGTGATCAATATCGTACTTTGAAGAGTGTTACAACTATGACAATTAGGCGGCTAACATTACATTGGAATGTCCAGCGAAGGGAAAATAACTTAATATTGTAAGAGAACCTGAAATCTATGGAATTTAATTGACAAAGGGTTGGCAAAATAGAATTTTTAAAACCCAAAATGCACTGCTCAAATGGGAGGAAAAATTAAAGGGGAAAAGTGCCAAAAAAGTCCTAAACCTTTTGCATTAGTGCCAATTTAGTCCTAAACCTTTTTTTGGTGCCAATTCAGTCCTAAACCTTTTGCATTGGTGCCAATTTAGTCCTAAACCTTTTTTTGGTGCCAATTAAGTCCTAAACCTTTTAAATTGATGCCAATTCAGTCCTAAACCTTTTATTTTTGTGCCAATTTAGTCCTTCCGGCTAATTTAGACCGGAATTTGCCTACGTGGACGCCTGCCGGCCGGCGGCCGGTCACCGGCGCCGACGTGGACAACTTTAATATTTTTTAAATATTTTTTTGAATTTTTATTTTTTTTCCTTTTTTTTTTCCACTTTTTTTTTTGGTTGTCTTCCTCCTTCCTCTGGCCGGTCGCCGGTCCGGCGACCGGCCAGAGGCCAGAGGCCGGCGAGCTCGACCTCGCCGGCCACTGGCGAGGGCGAGCCTCGCCTTGGTCGGGCGAGGCTCGAGCCCTCGCCGGAGGCCGCGGCGAGGGCGAGCCTCGCCATGGTCGGGCGAGGTCGAGCGTCGACCTCGCCAGATCCGGCGAGGTCGAGCCTCGCCCGACCAAGGCAAGGCTCGAGCCCTCGCCGGAGGCCGCGGCGAGGGCTAGCCTCGCCATGGTCGGGCGAGGCTCGACCTCGCCGGATCTGGCGAGGTCGAGCCTCGCCCGACCAAGGCGAGGCTCGAGCCCTCGCCGGAGGCCGCGGCAAGGGCGAGCCTTGCCATGGTCGGGCGAGGCCCGACCTCGCCGGATCTGGCGAGGTCGAGCCTCGACCTCGCCAGATCCGGCGAGGTCGAGCCTCGCCCGACCAAGGCAAGGCTCGAGCCCTCGCCGGAGGCCGCGGCGAGGGCGAGCCTCGCCTTGGTCGGGCGAGGGCTCGAGCCTCGCCCGACCAAGGCGAGGCTCGCCCTCGCCGCGGCCTCCGGCGAGGGCTCGAGCCTCGCCCGACCAAGGCGAGGCTCGCCCTCGCCAGTGGCCGGCGAGGTCGAGCTCGCCGGCCTCTGGCCTCTGGCCGGTCGCCGGACCGGCGACCGGCCAGAGGAAGGAGGAAGACAACCAAAAAAAAAAGTGGAAAAAAAAGTGGAAAAAAACGGAAAAAAAATAAAAATTCAAAAAAATATTTAAAAAATATTAAAGTTGTCCACGTCGGCGCCACGTCGGCGCCGGTGACCGGCCGCCGGCCGGCAGGCGTCCACGTAGGCAAATTCCGGTCTAAATTGGCCGGAAGGACTAAATTGGCACAAAAATAAAAGGTTTAGGACTGAATTGGCACCAATTTAAAAGGTTTAGGACTTAATTGGCACCAAAAAAAGGTTTAGGACTAAATTGGCACCAATGCAAAAGGTTTAGGACTGAATTGGCACCAAAAAAAGGTTTAGGACTAAATTGGCACTAATGCAAAAGGTTTAGGACTTTTTTGGCACTTTTCCCAAAATTAAAGGATGAAGAAGAGATATACCATGGGCCTGGGGAAGTGAATAGAAAGTGACAGAGGCTAGTGCAAATACAGAAGAAGCAAGAAAGCCCATGGCTGATGAGTGAAGTCCGAGTAGAGAACAGAGAGAGTGAAACAGGAGAGAAAAAGGAAGAAATTTAGAAAGATGACGAGGCACGAAAATAGTATATGCAGGATAGCTAGCTAAGAAATTGCCAGCAAGTCTATATAAGATGGCATTGCCACATCAGAAGGGTATGCCTTGAACTGTAGTGATCTTTCCGCTTTAGTAAGAATATGGACCGGATCAGAATTTGAGGAAATCTAAAATGTTTATAGGCTGACAAGAGAAAGCAACTCGAAAGAGCTTATGTGTACTTATCCAAATCCACAGTGAGAATTTTTTAAGTTTATTCTAATTCACGTTGATGCTGGACAGGTGTCAAATAAAGCTATCCCCCTTTGGCCAAACAAAGTATATTACCACCATATCCTCTTTGTCCTCCAACCCTTTACAAGTTAACAGCCTTGAAATATCGAGGATATGGAAAGTATTGTTTATCTCTGATGAGGATAAATTTAATCGATTCTCAGTACAACCAGAAAAAAATAAATAAATAAAACCAATACACCTAATTCACAGTCTTTAACTAAATCCTGAGAAATAGCCCATCCTCAAGGGCCTCCAAAATGATTTACCTCGAATTTAGGGTAAACTATTCAGAAGATTCTCACCTCAATTTCTCAGGCTCGCCCTTGCTCTCATCTTTGGCTGCACGGACAAGCTCGGCTGCCATAACTGTCATAAGGTGGAATTAAATCAGCATTTGGCTCCAATAAATGTAAAAGAGCTGATGACAAAACTTATCATTTTCACAACTGTTGTCTCTCCAGTTGAACTCGTTAACCTCAATTTCAAATCATACGATTCAAATTCCTTTCGTATTCCCCTTCAATTGATAGGTTCAAATGCTAACTTAACATAAAGTGCACGCACTGTGAACCAGCTAAAAGAAAGCAATCATAAGAGTTGGTCATAGCACCATTGCTCACTCCTGGGTAAATTCCACCAGTTGTGATGGCCGGAATATTTGCAGCAGCCGCTTTGTCATTGAACGACTTCGCAAGCAATGAATAGTGAGTATCATCGCAAACATCAACATATGCAGTCTGCAAAGAAAGCCCATAGACGCAAAAGAACGTGAAAATTCTTCGTAATCACATCATATCTAATTTGCTCTGGGGAAAATACATCAATCAATGTCAAACAACAAGGAAGCCCAAACATATCGATTACCTTTTCTCACCTTGGTTGCTATAGCTGCCTCAAGCACATTGCAATTCTGAACCTGTTGAAAGGGTCCTGCTGCATGAACCACAAGATCTACATCTGCAATGACGTGATGATGGAGGTGAGATGCAAGAAATAACTGAAATCGTTGCTGAAATAACTGAAGCATGATCCAATAAGGCCTGATTCCCTCTCACAAATTATACATTGTACTTCTTTTTTTTTTTTCCTCATCCACTGGAAAGGGAGGAGGGGCACGATGAAGGTTCTTGCTTCCTAGACATCCTGAAAGTTTTGTCGCCTAGAAAAGCTTTCAAGTTCCTCACATTATCCTTTACACAGCATTACCACAGATTTTAAAGAAAAATCAGTAGATCGACAATAGTTTTATCAGCATATAAACAGCATCCACTGTGCTAGTCCTAAGAATGTAAAAGAGATCTACTTTACCATCCAAAGCTCTTTCCAAGGACACCACATCGTCGATATTGACTTGAGCAAACGCAGAGTTCTTTCCTAATGTAGCCACCATTGAATCGCCTTTTTCCCTTCATCACAATGCAAAACATAATTACACAATTACCACCTAATTGACATCTAAACCGGAAGCAAGAACCGGTACATGATCAAGGAGAGGAATGTAAAATCTATACACAAATCTTCATGATCCTGATACAGAAATGTCTGCGTTACGTGAGGACGTTTATTTGTTACGCTCCAAAATCGAGACAAAGGCGTAGTTCACTCTGGTCAATCAGACTGGCATCCGTCATCAGACCTGTCACTCGATCAAGTGTAGCAACTCTTAACAACGTCATGCTCGCGAGAGCGAACTATTTCTCTCTCCATTGTCGACTACGCCTCGAGTTTTTAACTCATCCCAAATATATCGGAGAGACTAAACGGAGACGAACTCCACGAAGAAGCTGTTCGTCCACGACATAGTCGCGGCCATTTTCACCTACTTCCTACTCGTTCCGACTACGCAACCGAGAGCTCGAAACCGCTCCAAACATCCAAAAATCACTGGTCGCGGTCGATGGCGGCGAATCGATCGCGTGAACTGGAAGAAACCGAGAAACGAGAGCACTGTGTTATTTACCTGTTGCGACCGCCGACGACGATGTGGAGATCGGGGGAGAGATTGGAGAGGGCGAGGGCGGTGGAGCCGCCGACCCGGCCGGTGCCGCCGAGGACGAGGACGCGAGCGCTGCGGGCCTTGTCGGGGAGACGGACGCGACAGGGCTGGGTCTCCAGGGCGCAGCAGCTCTTCAAATGAACCAAGCTTCGCGCCATTAAAACCCGCCCTCAAGCTCTCTCTCTCTCTCTCTCTCTCTCTCTCTCTTCTGATTCTTATCCAGCGAGGGAAAGGAGCTTTATCTTCTGGGGCCGGTGGTGGTGGCGGTGGTGGTGGTGATGGTGGTGGATGTCGTTTTGGTGTTTGATCCTGCCGCTTTGACGGTTGGTTAGCAGCTTCCGTACGTGGACGTTTTGCGCGCCAGGCCGTACCAAGAGATTTCTAGAAACATGACGAGTACATTCTCACTTATTTACAGAATTGCCATATTATATCTCTAGCTATCCGCCACGTCACTCGACATATTCATTTTATAAACCGAATTTTATTATATTTTAATAAACGTGGTTGAATCTTTATTTGCGAGTGCCGTCGTCTCCCTAAAAAGCGAAGTAAAGAATACTTCGGGAAGAAAAGGTGTAAACACTTTTACCTAACAGCCGGAAGCTCGCTCCTCACCGTATCTTGTGAATCGACTTTATTAGATAAATCCTTAATTTTCATTTTAAACGTCACTCATCTAGATTATGCTTTCTTCCCTAATCACGTGTCATGCAACGCGATTACTACTTTACCAATAAGATAATTCTCATCTTAAGATATCCAAACGAAGAAAGTATTTTATGTAGCGGACACATCATGCGGCAGTAACGGCGTAGTGTGACTGACCAACTAGTGTTGCCCCGTGCTATGAATCCCATCCTACGTAGCACTGTGTATGCACGCTTCTCATTTTTTATTTGGTCAGTCGAAAAGAGAGACTATTGATTGGGCTCGCTATGGGCCCATTGACCTATAATGGGAGGCACAATGAATTGAGGCCACGACCAAAAAAATGAATTGAGGCCCATTTGCAAAGTCGATCAGCCCAAATGTCCCGAACCAAACAGCAAGGGAAGAGGAAGTCTTCGCATGTTTGCTGTGCTCATGGTTGGGTAGCCCACGTCGGACGTTTGAATGGGATGATAAACGATAGCGACAAGAGAGTTCATCATTTTCAAGCTTGCAAGCATGAAGGCGTGGCATATGAGATTGCCACTAATCCAATAACGCATCGTGAAAAATGAATGATTTGAAAAATACTTTTCTAAAGATAATCACTTATATTTTTTTATAAAAATGAACGAATGAATGAAAAATATTTTTAACGTCCACGGAAATGTTTAGACATAAATATTTTCAACAATGAAAGTATTTTTCATGAACAAATTATTTCAAGCGATACAAGCAATTACTTTTGGGAATGTATTTTCCAAATCATTCATTTTCCGCCAGATAAACGGAGTCTAATTATTTTTTATTTGACTTACCCAACTGCAATGTGAATAAGAAAAACTTCCGTTTTGAATAATGGTGCCAAATGATGAATATTTACCATTGCATGATGAAACAATGACCTCCATGCGGCTTCCATCTTCGACAAGACTAATCATGACATCCCAAGTTCCGCATCAAATAAAAGAGGTCGTGTTCAGCAATTCATAATCGACCATGCACCCAAAATGATCGCCATATTGTATGATTACTCGTCATACTCATTTCAAGGGCGTTCGGCCTTCGTGGACTGAGTCAGGACGTCACGCTATTTGCCTTTGATAGTCGGAGTATGCCATCGTTGATTTCCGGCGAGTATGATAGTGTTTGGCCACGGGGGGGTATACAACCAGAAACCATAAGAGAAAACTTTTGTATCTTTTATACATGTTCTTTGCGCGGCGAAATATACGGGACAAGAGACGTGTGGTAGACCCCGGGGAGTAAATGGAATAATATTGAAAACTCAAATAAATAACTCTGAGAAAAGGAAGAAAAAGGTCTATAGTCGAAAGGTGATCATGGCAAATGAGGCGATATTATTTACTGCCAATTATTTTAAAAATTTTAAGCCGTTAGATATAAAAGTGATCTAACATTTAAGTACTTTAACACGCAATCTCTCTCTCGCCCCTAGGCTAGACCTGACTTTGCTCTGATACGGTGTAAAATTTTATAAGACCCCTACCGAATATTCTAAAAACGGTTTGATTAAGGTGTGAATTTGTATTTAAATACTTTAACAACGACAATCACCGCATTTGTAATCGTCTCTTGGGAAGAGTTTTATCACATCTCTCGTGCACAAGAAGGTTGTCAAATGTTTTATCTAGGGTTATCCGGTCTGAAGTCTATCGTCAAACTTCGAATAAGTGGACGTTTCCCCTTTGAAATTGCTCATAAATCCATTCTAGGTTGATCCTAGGATTAAACAAATATCTTTAGGACTTTTTTTTAAATCCCTTGGCCAGCTATTTGGGACATTCTCATAGCATGCTCCTCCTCTTTTTTTTTTTTTTTTCAAAGAACAAAAAAATTGTGAGGCTATTCAACGATGGAGAATGCAATTCAAGCCGGTTCATCGCTCATTCAAAAGAGATAATCGCGTTGCCCATCGTCTACTCCAAAATTCAGCAATTTCAAAATGAAAAATTAAAGTCTCGTATTTCAGCCACCATTTTTCCTTTCGATTATAACTCCATCATGTTCAAATAAACATGTTCATTTGCTTGCTCGAAATGCCAATTGAAATCTCATCCTCTCAATATCATCTAAAAGCACATGCTTGTTATCGAAAATAACTACGCAGGAAATGAACGACCGCCTTACTCGACAAAGATTATGTAGGCGGCCCATCCTAAATAAAATTGTTAATTAAAAAAAAAAAAGAGAAGAGGTTGTAGCGTCCTGGTTAGTGTTACTCAAGCACATGGAACGAATCAGAAAGGGCATATCCCAAAGTTCCCCTTCCCCTCGGCTTCACAAACTCCTTTCTAGCCGAAAAAAACAGGAAAGAAAAATCATTTTAATTTTTTTTTTTAATTCTTTATTTTTTGGCTGCTGAGCCAAATGTGCAAATCTGCGAACAACACGACACGCAGCGGGGCGCCCGCCAAAGCGTGACGCGATGGATGACGTGTGCTCGTCACGTGACCAGCGCGGCCCGCGGAGAAACGAGTTTGACATTTCACCGCGGCCGAGGAGGTCCGGTCCAATTCCAAGGACAGCGACAGCTGGAGAGAAGGTGAAAAAAAAAAGGAAAAAGAAAGGTATTTTGAAATTAACTAATGACAGCGTAATCCATCAATACTTGTTATATATCTAACTCAACTAATTCTGCAGTTTCATATTTAAAACTCTCATGTTTAGATTTACTTTTCGATTTTCTGTTTAATCTAAAATTTTCCATTCTCGCCCCGCGACTTCTTTTTTTCAAGACCCTGATGTAGATTCACGTATAATTTATTTCATAATTTGACGGGAGATATCCTCAATCGATGAAAATTAGTCAGGTGTTTGAAAAGTCTCGGGAATCTCATTGATATTGAAAAACGATTCATGGTTTTTCGAATCACCGATGACTTTTTTGAAATTTAAATTATACTTTACATGTCAACGGGGAAAATGGAAAATGACTCATCTTCAAGGTAAACAAACGGGTCCTTTGACTTTATCTAACTCTATCATTGACCAAAATAAAAGAATAACTCTGTCGAAATTGAAAAAAAAAATATCCACAACGGATGTATAGCCATCAAATAAGTAGAAGAAAGAAATTTTCAACATATGAAATTCGAGATTTATTGACCACATATATCACACGGACTCTATTAATAGCTGATTACGTAGTATTATTCTTCTTTTCATTAAACATGCTTATTAATATCTAGTACGTTACTCTTGCAATATCTAATTCAATGAACTTTCGGTTTCAATTTTTAAAACTCTCGATCTTTTTGTATATTTTATCGATCGACTGGTATGTTATATATTAGGGTTGATATTACGAAAATCTTAAACTGGTACACTTGTGACAAATTTACTACAAATTAATTTTTTGACCATAAAAAATCATAAACTGGCACACCTATGATAGATTTACCCTAAACTAAGTTTTTAATCATCAAAAACCTTAACCTGGTATATTTGTAACAAATTTTTCCTCCATTAAATTAAATTGATATCATAAAAAACCACAAAATAGTATACCTACGATTGACGGAGAGTAAAACTCCAAATTGGCACACACATAAATTATTACGTGCCATTCAATTTATAAATTTGACTGTAAAATTTAATGAAAATTAATAGAGAATAAAATTATTACAGGTGTATCAATTTGGATTTTTCGTGATATTAACCTCTATATATATATATATATTATGTGTGTACGGTTATGCTTTTCGTTCTTCCGGAGGCGGAGGAGATTCATCGGAACGGTAAAATAGGAAAAATGGGGTAAAAGGGCGAAACCTGTAGGCGAGTGGTCCCTTCCACGACAGATCGTGAGCTGTCGAGCCATTGGCTTCCCACGTGTCGTATATGCAAGCTGGGATTCTCCCGCATCCAGCTGGACGCCTCTGACCGACACGAGATCAAATCGTCACGTGCGCTTTTCTCGAGAAAATTTTAAAATCCTTTTTATTTTCCAGCTTTTCGGAGATAAATTTCTCACGAGAAGTGTACGTGGACGCTTGCTCACTGTTTCTACATGGCGTGTTCCAGGACTACGTGGACGCCTGTTGGCGAAATACTATTTATTTCTCATTGAAAATAACTCAAAAGAAAAGATAATTTTCGAAAATCCCCCCTAAAGCGGCCTCCCGTTCTCAAAATTTTTCTCTAGATTTTGTTTTATTTTAAAATACCCGATGAATTTATCGCCCTGACCCAATAGCTCTCTGAAGCTGCGTCCGTTTCTCAATTAAATTCGACTTTAATCCAATGACCTCTGAACTGGTCGCATTTAAATACGTCGGTCAATCAACGGACGCATGGGGGTTTGGAGATATTTTGGAACAAAGTTTTAATCTGTTGGGGAGGATTTAGTGAAAAGGTGCCATTCTAGGAGTTATTTGGTCAAGGTGTCAAGCGGGGGGTAATTTTGGAATTTCGAGTCAAGCCCGAGGGTATTTTTTTTAGGGTGATTTTGGAATTTTTTCAAAAATGAAAAAGAGAAAGAAAAGAGAAGAGAGGGAGAGGGGGCAGCGCCTTTTATGACGAGGAGGACTAGTTGGGCGGCGTGGTGGACCGAGCGCACGCGCTTGTTCCCACTAA